AATCTCAACAGTTTATTGCATTCCTCCAATTCCTTGAAGTGCCATGTTAAACGTTTGACTAACTTCTATCCCAGTCCAGCTTTTGAGCGCTTCATTGTATGAGTAACAGGTTGCATGATGCCCTTATTGTTGGAGGCCCCGAGCGCGGTTCCCATGCTCCAGCCCATCTTCTCCAGCATTGCCCTTCCACGATTCTCGATGCCTAATTCTGGCGCTAAAGCACCAACCACCTCGCCATCTTGATATGTAGCGGCCGCAACGGAAGTGCCACCACGAGCAGGCGGCAAGCGATTCCCTTTCTTGACCTTCTTATCCGACCGAGGAAGATACTTGCGATTGACGCGCTTGAGAGCTTGATCGAATGTTGCTGGGACGTAAGGAGGCGTACGCTTGGTTCGATGAAGTGTCGGTCTCCGTTGGTCGCCTTTTCCAATTGACTTGGACTTAAGCTTGAATTTACTCGCCAGTTCGTGGATCATCTTGCGCGCATTATTATCCATAGGGGGGAAATTAAGTCTGTGCCTAGTCAATTAAAACTCATAAGTAACTTGATGATAACTCACTGTTCGTCAGGACCCATCAGGAATGTTTGTAACTCATCTGCGACTTGGTCCATGTTCATTCCATCTGGATATTTGACCCGCAGATCATCAGGGTCTTTTTTGCCTAGCATGCCGAGGGCACGCATCTCCTCTCGCTGTTTCTTTCGTTCGGATTTCTTAAGACGATCGCTCTTCCAGCTGGCTTGGAGAGATGCTTCCAGTTCGGAATCGGACATGTTGAAGCTGATCTGAGCTCGAGCGCCTTCGCCTCTGCGCCGACGCAGACTGGGGCGATCCCAATCCATCAAATCAAAATCATCACCGAATTCTTGGTGCTGTTTCGTCCTCTTGCCAGTGTCGTCGGGGTCGGAGTCAGAGTCGCTCGAAGAGTCTCCGAAATGTACATCCTCCATGCCCAGATCTTGACCGAGCTGCTGACCAGCTATCAGTCGTGCGAGTGTCTCATCATCGATCTCGCTAGGGACCTCATCTCCGTTAGTCGCCTCAGCATCGTCCGTATGATCATCCGTGTCATCTCCTGCAGCGTTGGCTGACTCGGATACGCCACTATCGTCCGAGTGTCTTCCGCCTTCGAGCAGTTCCTGGAAGTAATCATCACCTTCAGTGTTCTCCTTGAGGTTGGCGATGTAATCGGCAAGAATGGCATCCTCCTCCTCGTCCAGTTTAGTTTTGGCGTTGCGTTTCTCATGCTTCTTCTGTTTTTTCTCTATCTTAGTTAGATTTTTACTGCGGATTGGTTCCGTTTGCAGTTCCGGTGCTGGTGTTTGTTGTGAATGGGCCGGCTCAGTGATGATGGCCTGCTCAACGACGCGGATTTCAGTTTGCATCTGCACCATGTCGATATCAGGCACAGATTGAACGTTTCTCTGCGCACCTCGGCCCTTGAAGAGAAGCACTTCCTCGCTCGAGGTGCTGCTACTCGAGGATGGTCTATCCGGTATCTCCACTGGGGGAAGGTCCTTCTTCTTTTGGATCTGGTCTCCTGTGAGATCAAAGAAGAATGGTACTTCCTGTGGTACGCTTTCTTCGGGTGCAGTCTCGGTTTGGATGGCTTCCTCGAGGTCGTCAGGGCCTATAAACTCAACCTCGTCGGTCGATTCTTCGAAGTTCTGTTCGTCGGCCCGGTTATCTTTCTTGTCGCCTGGGTCAACAATCGGGTCCAATAACTTTAGAGGTTCGGTAGGCCCAGCGCTAACGAAAGTAACTGGCCGCAGTCGTAGGCTGGAATTCCCCCACGTGGAATGGTCATGTTGCGACGTCTGGCGAGCTTCGTCGGCAAGCGTGAATCCAGCTGTAATATATCAGGTCAGCGTCCAAGCACTTCAACCTGTGCACACTTCGCGTCAGGGTTATCCATACCAGTTTCTTCTCTAGTAAAATTGACTCGGGGTGGCGTTGATGAATAGCTCCCACCTCCACGAGAAGCTCCCCTGCCTCCTCGTCCTCCTCTGGCGTTCCTTGCGCCACGGAAAGCGGGAGCTCCCCTCTTGTTTTTTGCCATGGCAAGATCAGGGAGATGTGGCCTTCATGGTGAGAGTAGTCCAATATGGCAGTTCAATTGAGATTTATAGCGGTTTTGCACCATAAAAACAGTGCTGTGTTTTGGACAGAGAAAGGTGTTGGAGGTCTTCGTCGATGGCAAAGAAAACGAGTCACCCCGCGGTGGACTCTGCGTTGCAGCTGGTCTATCGATTGGCTCGGAATGAAAAGTGGGGCCAAGTGTCCTAGATAAGTGTCATTGAAAGACGCCGTGATGCAGGTTGCGAGCGGGAGGCGGTATTGATTGGTGGATCCGCTTGAGCCTTTGCGGGAAAGCTCACAGGCACCTCAGGTATAAGGCAGGCAGTCACGGTACGTACCGTTGAATTTAACAGTTATCCATTTTTAGGTATAGGGTGGGAACATGAAGCAATATCGAGAACTGAGCATCTATAATTTTCAACCGAAAGTAGTAGTAAAGTAAACTGTTAAGGTATGTAAACATATTTTTACTTATACCTTAGGTGTCAGACTTTATATCTTGTGCATATTGAGGTGCTTGTATGTTGAATAATGTCATCATCGTGTTTTACCCAATATTTCATTGAAACCATGATGTCGATGATAGTACCACGAGGGGACTTCACAGTAAGATACAAGCACAGACCCACTATGATGAGAAGGGAGGAGTGTACGGAAAAACGCGTATATATACGCGTAAACAGAGTATATAAATACAGAAGCACGAAAAATCCCAGCATTTCCATTAACCTCAGGCTATGTGAACTCAACTCGAGCAATTCAACAGATGTCGAGTCTGGCGTCAAGACGTGTCACGAATGGCCCGTGCACCAGATCACATATCGCGTGCGTTAGTACCGAGTACCTACAGCCAGTACCAGCTCCACTGGAACCGAAGTCCACCTCAGGCGCTTCGTGGGAGTCACAAGCTACTGGGTTGTCTCTCCCCCGCCGCCCGCCGGCCCCAGCTGACTCTCCACTTCCAGGCTAAGGCCAAGGTTCACCCATAGCCAGGACCCCATCTGCTGCCTCACCTGAAGCCTTATGTTGCCTCCTTGTTGAGGCACTCATCTTACATTTTTTATTGTATCTCGTTCTCAAGCTCCTCAGGTTCTACAACGAACAAGCAAACAAATGAAAGCTTGAGATCCATGTCTATCAACATGGAGAACGCCATGGCCAATGTCGACCTAGGACGTTATCGACGGATCGTACAGATGTTCTGGGATCCAGAACCTACCAACGATGTTGCCCACGATCACCCAGTATGGTGTCTTGGACGCTCCTACAAGCTAAGCGATAAGAAAAACACAAAGTCCGATGAACAAAATCCCCAGACGCCGCCCCCAGCACCCAAGTCGGACACCGAAGATCAGGATACGACTCGATCGCCCAACATACCGACGAATGCCCCAGAAACCCCACCGGAATCAATATCGAGCAGTTTCTCATCGTCACTGGCATATGACGACCAGTCGAATGACGGCGGATGGCCATCTGGCTTCATAACCGATTTTGAATCAAGGATATGGATGACTTACAGATCCGAGTTCGAACCCATTCCTCGTTCCACGAATCCCGAAGCCACATCTTCACTGTCACTATCTATGAGACTCAAGAGCCAACTAGGGGACCAGAGCCCATTCTCATCAGACAGCGGATGGGGATGTATGATTCGATCTGGTCAAAGTTTACTTGCAAACACCATCGCACTCGTTCGCCTGGGGAGAGGTAAGTCAAAGCGCTCACCACACTAGACTATATCACATGCCTAACATCGTACAGACTGGCGTCAGGGACAATCATTAGAAGAAGAATGTCGAATCCTCAAAGATTTTGCCGACGATCCAAGAGCTCCATACTCAATCCACAGTTTCGTCCGACATGGTGCCAGCGCGTGTGGCAAGTATCCAGGTGAATGGTTTGGTCCATCAGCAACAGCCCGCTGTATCCAGTACGTTCAAGTTCTCACCACTCTCACACGCGATATTCGTACTAACACACAACTTGAAGAGCATTGGCGAACTCACATGAGCCCGCAATCAGGGTATACTCCACTGGCGATGGGCCTGATGTCTACGAAGATGACTTTATGAAAATCGCGAAGCCAAGCGGCGAAGCTTTTCACCCCACGCTTGTATTGGTAGGAACTCGGCTGGGACTAGATAAGATAACTCCCGTATATTGGGAGGCCTTGATTGCAGCTCTTCAGATGCCGCAATCTGTTGGTATCGCAGGGTGAGTACTACATGATACTTTTTTGCATATCTATAGTACTAACCATGCGCAGAGGCCGTCCATCCTCATCCCATTACTTCATCGGCTCGCAAGGTTCCTTCCTATTCTACCTTGATCCTCATCATACAAGGCCCGCACTCCCATACCACGAGAACCCGATGCACTACACTAGCGAAGAGATAGAATCGTGTCATACCGCTCGACTGCGCCGCATCCATGTTCGCGAAATGGATCCTAGTATGCTGATAGGTTTTCTGATTCGGAGCGAGGAGGACTGGAAGGACTGGAAGCGTAGTGTTAAACACGTCCAAGGCAAGTCGATTATCCATGTGGCGCAGCAAAACGCAGTCCACGGAGGCTCAAGCGAGGGCCGCGAAGGCGCAATTGACGAAGTTGAGACGCTAAGTGACGATGATACGGATACCATTCAGGAGGCCTAGATTGGTTGTTGGGCCCGGCGTTGGTTTGTTTATGATTTTGGCTGTAATTTCCTGCAACCCATCATGATTGGCAGGAGGGCTAGGCGTTACGTCGGGATAGACATTGATATCGATTCGAACGACCCTCTTACCACGATTTTTGTCGTTTTAAGCTGCGTGATGCAACGCGTTCTTCATGCGCTGCCTGTCATTTGATATGACTTGCCGAATGGTGATATGGTTGAATGCAATATGCATATCGGACGTGCAGGATCCTCAATCACCTTTTCTTCTTCTTGCCTCCACCAGTCACCGATTTCAGCTCTGCATGTCCTTCCTCTCGAATATGGACGAACAGCCTGGTTCTAGAAGCGAAAGTCTCCCCACAAACTCCGCACTGTGGCTATGAACTGTTGTCAGCTTAACACAAAGATGATTGTTAATCAACATACTTCTTCTTTCTGCGACTGTGCAGCCGCAGCTTTCTTGGCGCGCTTGGCCTTGGCCTTGCCGACCTTCTTGCCCTGCGCAGGCTCATCAACCGACAGATCCTGCACTGATACTGATAGTTCATCGTCTTCATTAGTAACATCGCTAGTAGTTTTGAGTTTGCTGGCTGAAGCTATTCTCTCCTCGACAATGTCCCTGGGCGCGTAGTCGGTGTCGTCTGATGCGTCTGCAGACTCGGCAGGTGTCGCGGCAAGGGACGATTCCGCTGGAGAAGGTGATACAATTCCACCTTGAGTCGATCCAAGCGACTCCTCTTTCACATCATCTTTCTGCGCTGCAGCATCTGTTTGCTTGTTCGCATTTGCCTCATATGGTGATGATACCCCATCAAGCTCCAGCTCAGCACCTTCGCGCTTCATCTGTCGACGCAGTTGTTGAACAGCCTTGATGTGCTTCTTACTCTTCTCGTGCGCTTCAAGCTGCTTCTCGCTTTTGAACGACTTGTCGCATATGACACACTCCAGAATCTCAACCTCTGATTCCTCTTCAGATTCTGAAAACCCCCCTTCTGCTCCATTGTCGTCGGATCGAGCCTGGGCCCATTCGGGAACCTCGAATGATGCCATGCGTTCCTGGTTCGCAGCACGGGACCGAGCGGCCTGGGCCGCAGCAGCATTTCGCAGGGAAGCCTGGCGCTCGTCTTGGGTCTGCGAATTGGGCAGGTATCTGGGGTCTCGTTTGCGCACGAAGCCGACGAGGAAGTTGATAGCATCATTGAACTCGCGAATGGCGTCCTCCCGCATTTTCTTATTTTCCTTTTCCATCAAACGGCGGACACGACGATCGGGGGCATCGGAAAGTCGATATTTATCCTTCCACGCGAACGACTTGACGGTTGCGAAGCCAGTCCATGCGGTGTAAAATGGTTTCACAACATCCTCGTAGTCATCGTCAGAGGATCCAAAAGTTGTGTAATTCCGGACATCGAGGTCGTCGTTGTCAGCAGCAGCTTCCTCTTCCATGGCCAAGTGTTCAAAGGTTTCCCTGCAGATTCCGTAAAAACCTGTTGGTTCGTCATCGAAGGGTACCGCAGCGTTGAACTTGCGGATCAGGCCCATGATCTCCTCAGCGGATGTGAGTCGCACATTGCGGAACGTAGTAGGTTGTCCATCATCGTCGCCGTCTCTTCCACTGAGGATGGCATCGCGGTGCGAATCGTACCAAGCTCTCTCTTGGGGGTCAGACAGGACCTCGTAAGCAGTTTGAACTTCGGCAAAGCGGCGTGTGGCGGTTTCAACATCATTGATGTTGCGATCAGGATGAAGCTCGAGTGCTTTTCTGCGGTAAGCTCGCTTGATCCTAGTCAAACAAAGGTCAGTAGGATGACAACTTAGAGGGGCATATTCGGATAGAGTTACTCGTCGTCTGTAGCAGAACGCTCAACACTGAGCAGTTCGTAGTAACAGGTTTTTGCGACGGGAGCTGGGCCACCAGCATTGGAGGTTTCTGAGGATTGTTGGGCTCCCATGATTACTATTTGAATGAGCAACACGGGGCCAGTGAGAGTTTCGGTCGAATCTGCTGTTTCCGGAAAATAGACAATAAGAAAGGCAGTGCTTTATATATGATATATTTGAGGTTTTGACTTGGAGCTTTGTTGAAGGAGGGGCATCGCGGGGCAAAATCAACGATAGACGATTTAACCAGACCAAATAAAATAATTAAATTTGCTTTCTCCCCGCAGGATGTATCCCCGCTATTTCCGGTTTCCAGAAAAGATCCATGAGAAACGTGAAAGCTCATTGGTTACTCTACTCGCCATGCATCTTACTTTGTACGCCGGATGATTCACAAAGAGTCATACTGCGGGAGTTATTCATTATGGAAAAGAGTCTCATTCTTAATAGTAATGGGTATAGTATGGCCGCTCTTTTGATTGGCATAATTTCTTGCAATCACGCTTCCTTTCGACACGAGCTACTCTAGGTACCAAATCTTGGATACTCGTTATGTACTTGACAATCAGGTATAATGCTACCCCTGGTTTATTCATGACTAACAATCAACTAGCCCTTCATTTTGCACTTACGCCATTGTGAGATAACCTTCGTACGGTGAATGAATCAGGTTAATGCCGGTGTAAATTACAAGAGCTAATCTGAGCTTTCAGGATCAACGGATTTATACCATTTGCACCTCAGAGATCACTGTTGGTGGTTCCTCAAGGAAATGACCTAGATAGAAACCTTGGGCCTACCAATGGTAAAGCCTGGATGGCACACGAGGCTGAAGAGAATGGACTAGTCATACGGGTGATCGATGGGCTAACAGAGCACAGACGCGGTTCGTCTGAAAGTTGTCTGGCCTTGACGTTGATAGTCCAGTTATTGTATGGACATGGCAATTTACCTTATCGCATCTTGGCTGTTGGCATCATAACTTGTCGACCAGATTTGCATTGCCGTACTGTACGGGATGTGGTAATTTTTTTTCTTAAATTTCTTTTTTTAGCAGTCATCTGACCATTTTTCTATCCATGGCACCACTGATGAACCAATCACTAACGTCGATAATCCAAAACTCGATCGGGGGGAATGCGAAAATATCTGCTGGTCTAGGCCTGCCTGCCTGCCTGCGTAGACTGGCTTGGGAGAGTCTCGAGTCTCGGTCTCGGTCAGCGAAAATGGTCGAATGATGCAGTTGGTCTGATTCATGAAAGGTAGGTACCTACCTTTGGTATGTATGTATTGTATCATTCAGCTTAAACGCCTCTACCGTTGCCGGCAAGAGATTGCCGAGAGCCCACTCCAGGCTCATCCCTACCCGTTTCTTCCCTCTTCGAAAGCAAATGGAAGACACCATTCAGAGGGAAAAAGACCATGAGTGACCCGAAATCGGTACCAATATTTAGGTGGGCGAGTCTGCATCGAGTTAGGTCTCTCCCTCCCTCCTCCCATTCTCTTTTGATACATACAATATCGATCTTTTCCACGCACGAGGTCATTCATCCATTCATTAATTACCTACAGGTACCTAGTAGTACTAAGTTAACCACCTTATTAATGGCACTCACTCACCTTTTCCTCTCCTCCTCTTCTTTGATGCGGCGCATTTCCCTGACTTGATTCTTGACCCTTCCCCTGCTTTTCTCTTGCGATCCGAGTCCTTCAGCCTTAAGCGTCGCTTGTTCTGCTCTTGTTCCTTCGTCTTTCCCCGTCTTTTTTTTGCCACCAGCTGCCTTATACTGCAAGTGGTCGCGTGCCTCTCTTATGTGAAAACTCCCGACACTGGACTTCTTTGCTGCTCCACCAATTTGGCAATCATGAAATTCGGTCACGATTTCAAAGAGACTCTACGAGCTCAAGGTTCGTCTAGTCCGCATGTTTTCGTCCATATTCGGGTGGTTTCATATTCAATATACTATCACTTCTGTGCATCCTACATACTGTACCTACTTAGCGTCTAACCAAGCCTCACAGACTTCCCTGCTCACTGGGTAGATCATGCTATTCCCTATAGCCAGCTCAAGAAATGTCTCAAGAAAGTTGCGCGGGAGCTACATGAGCTTGGACTTGATCCCGAGACGTTGCGCGAGCTCCTCAACCCCGATGAAACGTCTCCTGTGGCCTTGAAGTATAAACTCAACGGTATGACCTGACCCCAACGTTTTCAACGGTTTTCTCCTCCGCCCAAGACTGACTGACTGACTGACTTTTCACAGGCGGTGCCGACTCTCACCTCCGCCCAAAACTCACCGTACAGGTTCATCTTCAGGACGGTGTCCCCGTCGATGCCTCGCTTGCGCCCAATACGCGCGACTTTCTCAACAAGATCGCAATCAACCTCCCCCAGAACCAACTGGCGCAAGTCGAGTCTGCCACTAAATCGCTAGATTCTGACTCTGTGAAGGATGCCGCAAAAACCGAAACCGTTGTCGAGACCACATCTGCACCCTCCGCCGAAACGGTTGATGCGCTCGTTGACGAAGTCAACGACACGCTTGCCATTGCTGTCGCCGACGAAAAGACTGTCAAAATTACCGAAAAGCCAGCCAGCGACTCCGAGCAAACAGAACCCATCGCTGAGCCTAGAGACAATGGCTTGACCGAAGTCTCGGCGACCTCACCTGCTACTGGTGCGACCGAAGGAACGTACGAAATCATCGAGGTTCCCCTGACTTTCGACGCCGAATTCTTCGAGATGCTTCAGAGCGATGTCAACAACCTTGATGCTCTGCAAATGGAGGAAGAGAAGACCATGACCTCGGAAATCGTAGCGCTTGGGAAAGAAGTTGAACAGGTCGTAAAGCCGAAGCGATTCTCAAAGACAGATCTTGCGCGATGGCGACAAATCTTCGAGCTGTATTTGGATGCTGAGATCTTCTTCGCTACCCACGAACAAGACCATGGAGAACGCTCAAGTCAAGTCGCTCTGAGGCAGCTGCAATGGTTCCAGGACCAGGTCGCTAAGCAGAATCTCGTCAAGGATTTCAAGCTTCCCGAGAGCACGGCAGCTTTCCACCGCTTCATTAACTTGAATGCGTCCCTCCTAAAGAACATGCAGTTCCAGGAGCTTAACAAGACTGCCGTTGCCAAAATTCTCAAGAGTAAGTTGAATATGCCAAGTGCTTGTTAAACCCGAGATGCTGACGTCGACAAAGAGTTTGACAAACGAACAGCGTTGGGAGTTGCTAGAAAGTTTCCTACCGTTGTTCACTCTGACAAGCTCTTGGCGGGCACCATTGCACGAGATGTCTGCGCACAAATGTCGCAAGAGCTCGTATCCAAGGTCCCCCAGCTCAACGACTATCTTTGCCCAGTCTGTTTCTCGGTAGCTTACTTGCCTGTCCGTCTCGACTGCCAACACGTATTCTGTATCCGTTGTATCATCAAGATTCAGCGACGAAAGGAGAAGCATTGCCCGTTGTGCAGAGCAGACGTGGTCCTCAAGGCTTCTGCGATGAATCTTGACTACGAACTACAAAAGTACATGAAGAAATACTTTGCAAAGGAGGTTAAAGAGAAAGCGCGCGCGAACGAGATTGAGCGTGGTATCGAGGACTACGGGCCTGGTTATGTCCACCAGGAATGCTGTATAATGTGAGCTCGATAGGCTCAGACATGGACGCGACTATTGTTATTATCATTATCGTCACGACAAACTTAAGCGACTTGAATTGGCACGGAATTTTGCATCAGAAAGAACCATAATATTTGTGAGTTCTATCAGTAAAGGGTGCACAGTCTACTAACACCGCTCTTTAGATTTATGACGGAAAACTGGATCGGTATGGAACGGCAATGACATGAATTTTATAGAACGAAGATAGACGATTATGTGCAAGGAAAAACAGCACTTTTGTTTGCTTTCTATTATCAGCTCGTAACCGACACAGCCTCAGCCGCCTTCAAGGCGCTTGTGAAAGTGTCCTGAAGTTCAGTGGTCTCCTCTAAACCAACGCTTACGCGAACAAGATAGGGATCAACACCAAACTGCTCAGCCCATTCCAGTTCCTGATAGTGGGCAAGTAGAACATATGGTGAAGCCAAGGTGAAATTTGTGCCTAGACTTGGTCCCTTTGCAAGAGGCAATGCGTCAAAGAAGGCCTGAGCATGCTCCTTTTGCTGAAATACGACGGAAAGTAGACCTCCGTATCCGCCATCTGGCAAACGAACCTTTTCGTAATGAGGCTTGGAGTCATTGTACTTGGGGTAGTAAATGCTCTTGACAAGGGGATGTGTTCGCAGCACTTCACAGATAGCATCCGAATTCGCGTTGATGCGGACCACTCGAGACTCAAAGTCGCGACTGTTCCTCTCCATGAAGATGACATCCTCGGGCCAGTAGTTGTCTTCGTAGATCTCGTTCATGGTGGTCTTGAGTGTGCGGTAATACTTGCTCTCAGGGTTGAGAACAAGCCCTCCACCCATGACATTGGAGTCGCCCGAGAAGATCTTGGTGAGGCTGCTGACAACTACATCTGCAACAGGGAGGACGTTGATGTTGGCAAATGTGCCAATTGTCTCGTCGACAACGACTGCGAAGTCGTATTCATCTGCTAGTTTGCGGATGCGAGTGAGGTCAGGACATGTCAGCAGAGGGTTCCCAGGGAACTCGCAGAAGAGACCGAGAAACCGCTCGCCGTTCTTGAGCCGTGACTCAAGATCATCGAGGTCTTCTGCAGAGGCGTGTCCGTAAAAGAGACACCCAGGACCAAACTTCTGCAGAATCTTGAGTGTGTCTACGTAAGGGAAACCAAAGTTGATACTTTGTGCTGGCTCTCTTGCGTGAAGGAGCGCACGGTGAGCATTAAAAATGGCGTTCATGCCAGCAGGGTAAAGGTAGACGTCGTTCTCCTCAAGGTTGGGCATGCCGCGAGTGTTGGATGTCATCGCAGGTAGAGGGCTATTGTTCAGATCGACGTCATGAGCCATGGCTCCAGCGATACGTCGACGGATAGCAGACTTGGCACGCTCAACCATGGACAAGTCGAGGTTTCTACCAAAGCGCTCTTCAAGGAAACGTGAGCTCTCGAGAGACTCAACAGGAGTCTCGGGCGAAGGTTGCTTGGGCGTTGAAGGGGCCGCAGAGGAGACACCATCGACTGAGCCCGGGCGAGTGTAGCGCCTCGGACCGCGGAAAGGTCTGCCCTGCGAGGCTTCAGGAGGAGTCCGTGATCGAGCAGCTGGGATGAGGAGGTCATCTTTGAACAGGCCGTGGCAGAACTCAGCACGTCTACTGGACGTACCCTCGCCGGTGTGCTGCCAGTACTGCTTGGCGATTGGAAATACCTCAGAGGGATAAACCACAGCCGAGATCGTGGAGGTGAGCTTCTTCAGCACAGGGGAGAGCTCTTTTGACTTGTCCAGAGCAAAGTCAATGATGCGGACCTGATTCGCTAGCTCGGGAGAGATTCGCTGGAGGATGAAGTCTTGACAGCGGTTTGCCACCCGCGGTGTAGGGAAGAGCATGGCCTGCTGACCAGGACTGCCATAGCGATCAACAATGTCTTTGGCGAAAGCCTGGATACCCTTATGCACAAAGAATCTGTTGGAGTTTCATGTAAGTGAGGGTGCTTCGTATAGCACGGCAGTTGGTCTGGCTCAGCTCACCGAGGATAGCCCGTCGTCATACGGTTCACAACCCAATCCTCGCCCTCTTCGTATCCGACATTTGCTTGCCATGTTGGCAAAGAGACACTGACGGCCTAAAGGCATTGGTCAGTAAAATAGCTTCATGATAGATACGCACTCAATCTTTTGGTCTTGACTCACATGTGCCGTGTCGGGAGGAATGGACTCGCCCAGGCCAATCTCTGGCATTGTAGTGTTTAGGATGAAGAGAGAATAAGGTGATGAATGATGAATAGACTTTGATCGGTATATTTGAAGCCGATATATACCGAATAGTATGTAGTAAGTTTGTACAAAAAGTATTATGTGAGACAACTTTTTTCTTTTGACTCTGTGTGAATTGGTGGCGCTGTGGTTGGATCGAGGGGGGAAAATGTCCGAGAACCGGAGTGTGAGTCTTTGGCATGCAATGTACCCAGAAATCCTGGAGAATACTATAGTCTACCTTAGTACCTAGTAGGTGCGGTAAAGGTGAGGCAAGGCGAGGTAGTGCTAGTGAATGAATTCAAGTGGGACAAGTGACTCTGTAAGCTTGTTTTGGTTACATAAATCACTAACTCACTGAGCTGTATTTCCTGTAGATCGCCTATCAAGCCTTATCTCGCTCGAAAAATATTGAAAGTCTCACCTCACCTCCTTGAACTGGTGTTGACTGTAATAATGAAAACGTGAGAATTACCAATGACCAATCTTGCCTAAATCAGGGTGGTATATTACTCCTCAGAGCCCAAACTAAGTAGTGACTAGGTAGGGTAAAGTAGTTACTAAGTTAGTGATATCCCCATGTACTGTGATCGATGTGACGCTCATGGTGACCCCCACACTCACTAAAAACACCAGCATTGATGGATCATGAGGGTGTTGCAAGGAGTGGGCTGCACCAAGATGATGCTGATGATGCGAGATAGAGGGGTAGCTAACGGAGGTGTGAAGGATTATGTTCTGGGCGGTAAATGACTCGGCAATAGACCGCTGACTGTGATCTTGCAATGCCCACGTCTTCTGTATTGTCTCTATCGCGCATCCCTGAATACTTGTAATGTCTTCTGTCTTTCTCTTATGTTCCGTCACATGCCCAGTCTTGACATCCAACAACTAGTTACAGCTTGTCGTCAACCAAATAGACTGATATGCTATATTCCAATATGTCTTACTCAAGGAAACAGGAAATCATCGCAAAACCTCCATTCACCAAAAGAAAGCCTGGGAAAGAAAGCCATGTGGCCCTGCCCGGACACCATAATAGTAGTAACACACAAACGCCTCCTCATATGCCAATCAAATCCCCACGAGATTAGATCCAAGCTGCTATCCTTGAAACAGAAACCCATGAAGCTCCATCTGTGGTCTGTAAACAACAACATACTGCCTGCCAGTTGATCCATATCATTCTGTCAAACCAATCTGAAAAGGCCTGGTCAGGCATGAATCGCTTTCTATCCGTCCCATCAGCTCGTCAATCGTGTCGTTCTTATCGCCACTCGTGGAAATGCATCTCATAATCGTAATTCTTCTTTATCGTATCTTGCGGCTTCGTCTGCTCGGCTTCACCCCAACACAGCTGATACTGTCACTTGGAGCAACACTGACCATGTCGTCATCCCAATCAGCGTGACTGCTACCAATGCCGCTCATTGGAAGTGAAACGTTTCTGGCAGATACGTAGCTCTGAGCCTTGCTTGGGTAGCCCATGTGTGGGTAATCAGGTCCAGTGGCCATCCGGGGCACGTTGTACCGACTCCTGGCCCGACTCCTAGGCATCATTTCTGGCACATCGGGGGCTTCGTAGACATCTGGATCCAGAGGAATCTCAGGCGCGTCAGGCACCTCGGGGACCTCTGGTGCCTCCATAATGTCGGCCTCCACCTCAGTGCGGGAGGATCGACGAGGAGCTCGTGAAGACGGGCGTGACCGAGCTGAAAAGTATGTCCGCTCATCGTCATACGGAGGCCGGTGACCACGGACAACTGATTGTGATGACTTGGGCGCTCGGGAGCCGGCATGGCTTCGGCGGTCGTCGTACTTTCGGCCGACGGGTGCCTCGCTTCGGAGATCGTCCACTAATACTACAGACTTGCTGCGACTAACACCTGCTTCGCTGCGGGCTCTGACGCTCCTAGACTTGTCAGTTATAGGAGGTCTGGAAGACCGACGGCTTCTTGTTTCAAATCCATCTTCCGGAGGTCGTGACGACCTGCGACTGCGTGTATCAAATCCATCCTCAGGTGGCGGCCTTGACGCACGACGGCTTCGTGTCTCAAAGCCATCGTCTGGGGCTCTCGATGCGTGGCGGCTGCGTGTTTCCACAAACTCATAGGCGTCTTCTGGGGGAGGGTGCCTTGACGAGCGTCGACTTCTGGTGGTATCGTATCCTTCCTCTGGGGCTCGACTTCGCGATCGGGCCCGTGAAGGGGCAACGCTCCTGGCAGTGCTCTTCGCAACACTTCTGGTGCTAGGAGCAGCGCTCTTCGCAGCGACGCTCCTTGCACCACTCTTGGCTACACTCCGGGTTCTGCTCCGACTTCTGGCTCGGGATTCGTTTGACCATGGATTCTCCTCATCGTAAGGGGCTTGTGTCAGGTATTGAATAGGGCGGACCGGCTCGTCTGGAGAATCCTCACTGCTGTCGTCTTCTATGTAGCCGAGATTCCTTGGCGGATACGACTCGTGATGCATCTTGCGGGGAGCATAGTCATTCTGCATATGTTTCTGGAAAGGATAACCCTCCGGATACATATCCTGAGGGGCAAAACCACCATGTCCTCGATAAGGCAGCGCTTTAGGCGGGTATTGTGACGCCGTGGGCGGATAATCAGCATAGGTGATACGGCGCTCGTCATTGTGTAGTTTATGAACCGTGGGGGCCTTCTCGGGGAAGGTTGAGCGGCGTGGGAGCGACGGGGGCTCATACTCCTGTCTTGGTTTTCGTTCTCGCTCCTTAGCATTGTGGCTTGCAAAGCCATATGTGAGGGCAGCGCCAGCAGCAGCAACTCCGAGGATGGCACCGACGACAGTGGTAGTACTTAGGCCATTGTTGTTGGAGCTTTGGCGAGGCGAAACAGAAACGGGTTCGTCCTCATCGGCACGAGAGGCAGCACGCTGCGTCATCTCGGCAGCTGTGACGGTATTGGGACCGTGTTTGGCAGGAGACTGACGGGGCTGAAAGGGTGACTGGCCGTTTATGGAAGAAGAAGACGAACGTGCGGAAGCAATAGGCTGAAGCTGAGGTTGTGAAAGAGAGCGATTCCTGTTTGGCTGGGCGGTGGTACCGTCATAAGTCCATTCGATAATTCGACCAAAATAATCCCGAGGACAAGCAGGCTGTTGATAAACGACCTGAATGGTGTTGCCGTCAAGGTCGCGTACTGTTGCTCGTCTTGGGATTTGACCGCCTTCGAGGCCTAAACGAGGTCTGGGGCTGGGGCCGCCAGGATAGATTGGGTCGCCGTCAGTCTGAATACTCAGCCACGGATTCGCGGTGAAGGCACAGTCGTGGAAGCCGATCACTGCATCAGTGGACGGTACCGCAAAGACCAGAGTCGAGAGCTTGACAGGTTCGAAAGGTCGAGAAACCTCGCGGATCTGCAGAACTGGCGTACCACCTTTTTGATCGTCACCACGTTTACCTCCAGACTTGCCGGCTCCAGCTGGAATTCCGTAAGTAATAGTTCCAATGGACGAGTTCTGTTCGCGTGACTCGTTCAAAAAGCGCAGGCCGATGAGCTGAAGAGTTGCCGAGTAGAAAGACGAAGACTGTGCCAAATGTGACACCTCAACGAATGGTAGTGTCATGGTCTCTTATAGAGCTCTGAGTGCCAGGACTGTCCGATCGGCTGCCTGCTGTGAGGTACCCGCTCGGATGCCTTGGCCGAGATTGCTGGAGTCTTGGAGTATCTCCAAAGACTTTTGGACCTGAACGAATGCGTTGCTCGAGCGTTACTGGCTGAGCAATATGTAAGAGGAGGAGGGGGCTGGTGGGGAGACTGGAATATCGGTCAAGGCTGGCGGTGATGAGTAATGAAGAACCAGGAGTAGAGTAGAGCAGAGTAGAACCCCAAACCGTTGGAGAAAATTAAAACCGAAAAAAATTAAAAACGACAGTTTAGAAGGAGTAAAAAAAAAAATTCCACGAAGAAGAATGGTCCAAATAGATAGCGAGAAATACAGCGAGGCAAGCAAGAAATGTTGGCCGGGTGAGGTGGCGGAGTGGATGAGAGAAGGCGGTCGAGAATGAAAGGGTAGGGATTCCGAGGCGACCCAAGGTAAGAAACAAGGCGTATCCGATTCGATGCCCAGAGATGAGTAACTGAGTGAGTGAGTGAGTTGTCGTTGTCCAGCCAAGGTAGTGCCGTGCGGAAGCCCAGAGAGAAATTGAATGGATCTGTCGGTAAGGCAGGGCAGGGCAAGGCAAGGCAAGGCAAGGTGAGATGAGGTGAGGTGAGGGATTGTGAGTGGCCTAAGTCGAATGTTGAGTTGTCTGTTCCTTAGTCTAGTCGGTCAATTGCTGCTTGGACCGACACCTTTGACGCCCAACACAACAAGAAACAAGAGGAGGGTCAAAGATGAATGGCCAAGTCCAAGATGCGAGATGGGTAAGAGCACACAAAGATCGATTGGTACCCGAGACTGCGAGTAATCCTCGTGGCTCCAGATAGTCAAGGCACGGCAGCAGTGAGTAATGAACAAGAGCCTGGACACACCAGGGTAAGGTATCCGGTATTGATGAATGTGACAAAGCTGCGACGCAATTGCAAGGCACTTGACCAAATAGACGAGGCAGGGATGCGTGGATGGATATGCGTTTTATGTTTGTTCTGTTAATTGCTCAAGGCAATTGGAGCAATTGCTCTGAGAAATGGAGACTGGAGACTCTAGGGGCTCTGTCTATAAAAGAGAAGAGGAGGAGAGAGGCTCGGGGGGCGGGGGGGAAGTCGAAAGAGGAAGAGAAAGACAGAGAGAGGAAAAAGAAGATGCAGCTAAAGAGAGAAGATCACCCGGACGGGATGCCCTGAGAAGGTGTCGTGAGGGTGGGCTCTACTTTAGAGGTACTGGCTGACTGACTGACTGGCTCAGCCAGGTACCTGGTCTGGTTTGTTTAGGGCCTGTCGGCAAAGGGAACTAACTGTACTAACTGATTGAATGCAGAGCTCTGCCCAAATGTTATGCTGATGCGTCCAGAAGGTGACCAGACGGACGCCCACTGTCTCAGCCAACCGCCAACCCAGCCCTTCCGCTGCGTCTCATAACATGGAAGTCAAAGGGCCCTGTCATGCACCTCTTGTGACTGTGGCTCTGTGACTCGCTGGCATCTGACCCTCTCGTGCTCCTCCTGTGTCCAACTAGAAGGAGTCGCAAGTACCCATCCCCTCTCTGTCGGGCGTGGGCAGGGCATGGCAGGGCATGGGTTCTGCATCACATCGCATCATAGGTACCTACCTAGGTAGTCTATCACGTTGGGTCGAATCACAGACACGATCAGGCCTGGGCAGATCCATACCTAGCCCCCATCGTGAGCAGAGATATAGGGCTTCGCATGCCGTGAGCTGCCATGGAAGTGCTCTGGAATTATGAGATGCACTGGGCTTGTGTATCTTTCAGTGGTACCTGAAGTGTTTGCTGGCGGTAATCGTTCACATGGTGCGTATCCCGTCTTGAGTTAGAAGCCGGCCCACTAGCCCCGCGCTATCCGGCAGCACCCGCTCATGATCACCCCTGAACCCTTCAAGCTCTGAACCAAAATTGGATATCCAGCTGTTGCTCTATTCAAGGTGGTTGTAGTCCAAGCACCTGAACAACTCGGAAAGATTCTCCGATTTGGGCGGTGGTGAAAAAAACACATCCCTCCCTTACGATATGCTGTGCTGTGCACATGCGGTGATAGCATCATGTGCCATCCTTGTAACGACTTGTCCTAACTTGGTACCTGCAGCTAGAAGGGTCAGTCAACCTAACATCCATGGTGCCACGAATGAATTGATGGTTGGGTGGGAAGCTATGGGCATTGGACCAAACATGGACAGCTCTACTGTGAACGGTAAACTCCTTTTATTGAGCCCTTTCACCACTAAGTAAGCATGGCCTGGAATTCACTCACAAATGATAAACCACTTCCACATGAATTACATTAACTTCCATGCTTAGGTGACACTGTCTTGACCCTCCCTTGTAGCCATGCAGCCGAGCTACTCCAAAAGCGTCCTTCTGATACTGTCTTCCCCTCATATGTAGTCCATGACTCTACCCCTCGCCCCAGAACCCTCCATACCTCAGGTATGTATGTAGCTCTGCTCATCCATCATATTGATCATGGCGGAGCTCCCTGCACCAGATAATAACATCTGACTGTCCGCCATGGCTCGCTAGATTATTGCTATAATAATGATGTGTGACACGCAATGCTCATAAAAGATGTCTAATGCGGGTCGTCGTGGTTATTCTCCACCATCGTCTTCTTCTGTTCGATCATCGGAGAATAGCTCATGGGAATTGGCCCAATGACTTTCGGCCATCGATGCGTGACCACGTCAAGGCCAGCGGCTGGACTCACGGCCTCCGGCTTGATCCACCGGACCTCCACCGGCACATCCACCCCCGGCCTGGACCGGCCAACCCCGGCCCTTCGGTCACCTTATCAAGCATCAGATATTGAATAGGATCAAGCCCTCTTTGTCTGATTCTCGATTCCGGCTCGACTCGACTTGACTGGAATAACCAAGTACATATTTTTTTTTTAATTTTTTAATTTAATTTATTTATTAAATTTTTTTTTTTAAAAAAAATATGCATTGTTCTATTCCATCAGGAAAAGAGGGCCCATTTGTGGAATGAAATATCCCACCGCGAGGCAGAGAACAACACGTCTCGTCTATGTAATGACTTGTCATGGTGTTGGCCGCCAAAGGCCAGGCCCGATTCGAACTTGCGGCCGACCAGCCTTCTGGCCGTGTTCACTGTAGCTATTATTCGCCTCCTCAACCTATTGTTCCTTTACTCACTCCTCCGACGCACAAGGGTCAGATTCGGTGTTTTACCTACCCTTCAAATCGCGTGGGGGCTATTTACTTGACTAGCGACCTAACATAAGGTAGGTAGTAGTTAGTGAATAGCCAACCATCCTACAATGACCAAGATCCCCAACTCATTTCCTGGTACGTGACAACTTCAATCACTGTGGGAATCGTGCTGGCATATAGCAGCTATTCTGGCACCATCTTAAGTCGTGTCCGCATCCTTCGTGGCCCCGTCACTCCATGCTTCCCATCCTTTCTCCCAAGCTACCTTAGAATAGCTCTGGGCACACAAGACATACCTAAAGTGCGGGGCAACTTCGTGCTACACCAGCCCTTTTTGGTCTATTGCACATTCGCGGTTGTGGCGGATTAGCTTCACTTGGTGGCCTCAGTCCTAAAGATAGCCATGTCTTTGGTTCAGATACCGACTCTTGTTGTTTTGAGAGACACACGTAAATCTGTTGGCTACCTGCACAATAGTCTACATATCCGTATTCTTCTTGATAATAAATATTGCCTTTTCTTTGACTGTCTGGCGCGTCTTATCTGTCCATCCATCGCGGATAACGCATTGAGGAGCATCGAAGAACCATGACGGGATTGGCCCATTGTGGTAGTCCCATTATCCTCAAAGAAAACGAAATGCTGAGAAATGCAGTTTCCATCGCGAGAGCTTCCCGGATCTTTCTCAAAATGCCTTGTCGTGGCTTTCCCACCAAGAAGCGTCGATTGATTAGACCAATAAGCCCAAACAAATCTATAAGTAGATTCTATCCAAACTTAACCTTGGCAAAACAACCATCAAGCACTGGGAGCCAAATAGAACAGACTCGCTGAGTGACAGTAGAAGAGAACAAATAGGAAAGTATGGGTCAGGTTGAAATGACCCATCAAGACGACATTCACGTCTCGGACCCGATGTTGAACGCCCCATGTTTTGGTTGCAAAAACAAGCGACAGCGAACACCCCAGGCATTCCAAGTTACAGCCGAACCGTCTCAACCCCAACGGCGATGTTGTATCGTCGTAGGGCGAGCCGGCATTTGGTATCCATCGCAGCCTCGGCCCCTTGCCGGCTTGATCGGCGACAGGTCTTACATAATGTCCCAGACATCTTCAGCCGCGTGGCAGAACTTGCTGCAAGCAACACTAGCAGACAGAGAGTAGTTGCTGATGGAGATCTTCTCGTCAACAAGCGCATCGGCGAAGTTATCCTCACCCTTAGCCATAGCGCCAACGAAGACACAGATGCTGTCCTTGGAATCCACGGTTTCAACATACTCACGAACCTTGACAAGTGGCGCATCGAAACTCAGAGTAACCTTGCGGCAATTGGGAGGCAAGTGGTCAGTGATGGGGTTCTGGATCACTCGGAGCAACTTCTCGTTAGAGTTGGTGGAGCGGATGGACAGACGGTGCAAGAGTTGCACCATCAGACCGGCAAATCGCTTGAATGTTCGTGGAATACGGACTGAAGGCGAGACCTCGATCAAGACACCCTTGGCAGTATGGATGTAGATCTGAAGCTTGCCGGCCTTGTTGATAGGCGAATCCAGAAGGGTCAGTAAACACTAAGAAAAGTGGTCAGCATGTTGAATGCCGACTCAGAAGATCAGAGTTGAAACCTGATGAGTGATGTCGGGACGAGCATCACTAATGTCCCGATTCATCTTGCGCATGACGCCGATGTGCTCATCGCTGTTGAGCAGAGAGTACTTGTCCTCACGATTGCGGCTGGTGCCTCCGTGAGAAGCCTTGTACGTCTCAAGACTGGCATTGGACAGGACGACGATCAGACGCTGAGAGTCCTTGTCTGTGGGAGGGATGGGAGTGCTCTGCTCGGCAACCAACTGAGGAAGCGAGGGGGGAGGGAGAGATTGTGTGCCTATATTTTCCGACATGTCAATGATGACCCTGTAGGAATTGCAGGTCGAGTTCTTGGTTGGCTCTTACGAGGTCGCTTGACTCCAGCAGTTCGACGCTCGGGCGAAGACATGGTGAAGGAGAAGAGAGAGGGCGAGACAGAGACAGAGAGAAAAAGGTAAGTGGGGGAGTTGAGCTTGGATGTTGGTTACTCAAGAGTGTCTCGAAACAGTCACGGACAGACAATACAGACAGTATGAATCGGTAGATACTGGAACAGTGAAATACCGAGACAGTATGATTGTGTGATTATATGCGATGGTTGTCGGTTGAATTGAAGCTTGTCGCGTGCAGGTCAAGATGAAAATGAAGAGGGAAAATTAGCCTCTGAGGAAGAGGGAAAAAAAAAGCGGCGCTCGCAATAAACAAGGTGCTATGTACGGATATTGAACCCTGAGGCCAGGCCATATTCTGAAGGTAGCGGCCCCCACATCTCGCCGAAGCTCACGCACTGTCAGCGGGTTCCGGATGCCGAACGGGCAGAACATGCGGGTTCGGAGTATTTCGAAGGATGGAAATTGGAATCGGTGCATGATGGTCAAAAATTCCCTCAAAAAGACGTTGTCGTATTCGATATCGTCTCAGCTAACGCCTCAAGGGACAGCCAACGAACACGTTGACTCGTTCCCCCCTCGTCTGACTTAGCATTGCGGTTAAATGAGTTCTCGCTTAGAAGTTGCAGGCACGAGGATATCGTCGAGTCGTGAGAGGTCCTATCCAGCCAATCGGCGGGGTTCATATCATAGAGCAATTACATAATCTCTCTCACACCCTGTACCGCTTCTTATTGGCTACCGAATTTTAGAGAGCCTCTGTGAGTAGGTAGGGATATCGAACAATTGACTGTGAACAGCAACTGTTGAACCAGCAACACTTCAGGTCTGCCAGACAAGCGAGTCAACACTCAATTGGACAGAAGAGACATATTCGCCATGTCATCTCCCGTAGCAAAAGCTGCGCGCCGTGTGACACACGAGCTTCATGGTGTTGTCGTCTCTGCTGGCCTAATGGACAAGACTGTCAAGGTTCGGGTTGGCGGTCAAAAATGGAACAAGATTGTCAATAAGGTAAGGGAATTCCCAAGTGCACTTCATAGCATCAAGAAAATAGGCTAAAATGGGTATCTAGTGGTTTGCCGACCCTAAGCACTATCTCGTCCACGATCCCAACTCATCACTCCGAACCGGCGATGTCGTTTCCATTGTCCCTGGATGGCCAACCTCCCAGCACAAGCGTCACGTTATCAAGCACATTATTGCGCCCTATGGAACGCCCACCGCAGAGCGCCCTCCCGTGCCCACGTTGGAGGAAAGGATAGCGGACTACGAGGCTAAGAAGGCCAAAAAGGATGAGCGAAGGGCGGCGAGACGGCAAGAAGAGGAGAACCAGAGGCTTGAAGAGAAGCGGTTGGAAAACGAAAAGAAGGAAGCTAGACGCAAAGCATGGGAGGAAGATCAGCAGAAACGCAAACCTCAGACATTGGCAAGCGATGTCGATTAAACTAATTCAACCTTGATATTACGACACATGACCGCAACCTCCAGGTGATTAAATAGGAATGGACAATGTGGGAAACCTGCTTTTTGGGACAAGGTGACAGGGACAGAGGGCTGGAACAGCTAGGTTCTGTACGATATCATGCGGGGGGAATCATGGCAACAGAGAAGGGGTTGTTAAACCAACTGTACTATTTGTAACATATAAATGACATACCAGACATTCAGCCCGTTTACAACTCCTCTACCCGTAGCCCAGTGTGTCGGACTGGGGTTGTGCTATCCATGATGCCCCTGCGCGTATAATGTACCTGTGCCCTTTTGTTACATGTTGTATACCAGAATAATTGCAGTCTATCTATCCTCCCCTTTCTCCAAACTCTGTCGCCCAGTCTTCGTACTCTTTTAGACCAGCTTTACTGACACTCGGCCTTATGGTCGTCAAACTCGCCTCGAAGTCGGACAATTGAATTGGCCGGATCTCATCCATAGTCATGTGTAATAGTGCCTCTCCAAGGGATCGCAATGGTCCCATGGCTGCATCCTTGGCCAAGGCTGTAATATCTGAACCTGAAAAACCTGTGATCACAAATCAGCTGAGTTTGCTTGAAACGTATGAAAGAACTACCCACCGTCTGTCAAATCCACCAACTTGAGGATATCATCATTAGACAAGTCGTGTTTCTGCTGGCCCAGAAGGGTCCTGAGCTGTGTCTCGCGAGTGGTCGGTTCAGGTAACGGGATGTATTGGCGTCGCACAAAACGTCTTCGAGCCGCCTCGTCAATTGCCCAGGGGAGGTTTGTCGCCGCTAACACAAGGACTCGGTTGGCGTCCCCCCTTTCCTTGTCTTTCTCGGTCGCTTCTCTTCCAGCAGCAGCACGTTGAAGATCGCTCCACTGAATAAGAAACTCTGTCTTGATCCTCATGGTGGCTTCGTGCTCTCCAGACCCTGATCTCTGTGAAAGCAGCGAGTCGATTTCGTCCACAAAGATAATACTGGGTGCCAGTGTCCGGGCCAATCCAAAAAGAGCTCGAACCAGCTTTTCTGACTCACCCAAGTATTTGCTTGTCAGGCTGCTTGCTGAAATCGAAAAGAATGTTGACTTAGACTCTGTTGCCACAGCCCTCGCTAGCATAGTCTTTCCTGTTCCTGGCGGTCCAAATAGGAGCATTCCTCTGGCTGGTTCTCGGAGGCCCATGAAAAGATCGGGCCGCAGAAATGGATAAACAACAGTCTCTCGAAGTGCGTTCTTTGCAATTTCAAGACCAGCCACGTCACTCCAATGAACTTCGTCACCTTGAACCACAACATCGTTCAATATTTGTTTGGCGGCTGCTGCATCAACACCAGCGGGCAGGTTCTTCAAAATTTGCTTCTTCTTGTTCTTCCATTCACTCATATCGTCAGGAGATTTTTCTAAAGTCTCCGATTCAGACGCATCGGAATCATCCTCTTGGGAACCTGCTTCTATAGGAGCCTCTTTCTCCTTCACTCGACGTGGTCTGGAACTGGTCCCATTCGTGTCATCTTCAGAGCCGCTTGAGGTGGAGACTTGCCGAACCTTACGCTCACGCCGCCTTGACCTATCTCCGCTCTCAGCATGAGGCCTCGAGGGTTTTAAAGATCTTCCAGGCTGCCTCGCTGCTGGAACACGAGTCGGTAAGTTGTTTGACACACTTCTCCTCTCTAATGCTTCCCCAGAATCGTCGCCTGTCTCAGTATCGTTGGCTCGCTCTTGCCTCGATACTTTGCGTGGCGATGGTGAAGCGAATCCGTTGCGCGAGTTGGGCAGCCGATCCATTCGATTTGTGTAAGCATCTGACGGAGGTAAATCTTGATATGAAGACGAATTTAAAGCACTTGAAGCAGCAGTGACCGATAGCATGGATGGACGGGCGTAACAGTACTCATCGGAGTGTCGTGTACTTCCGGAGGGTTCTCCATCAAGGTCGCGGTCCTTTGGCACAACCAAACGCCTCGAGTGGCTGTCCCACTGCGTTGGTACTGGTCTGCGAATTTGATCCAAGGAAGTGCGAGAGCTAGGGCTCGCTGTTGCCGGAGTGGACTCTGACTGGGCCCCCTTCGCGAATCTTTCCCTTGAACTGAGCGCGCTCCATGCCAAAGTCGCTGCTTTGCTTGATCCTTCGGCGAGTGGCTTTGCTGGCTTTCGTGGTTTGGTGGACTTTTCTCCTAATTTACCGGACCGTAAAGTCGTCCTCATGGTGTGCTTTTCTGGGCTTGGAGTCCGTAAAGTTTTGTTCGGTCTCGGTGGCAGAGCTGGTCCTCCAGGCGATGCAGATCGAGAAAGCGAAGAGAACGCCATGTTTGGATCTAGATGTGTGCTGGGCCCATCCACGATAGCAAGTTCTGATGACGTACGTCGAGGCTGTGATGGACGGTGTGGAAGGGTTGGTCGTGATAGCTCAGAATACTGCATGGCGGTGATTGTACCCTGTCCAAGGGAACCTCTTCCCTCAGGAATACTTGGTCGCTTTGTTAACTTGCCGGCTGGTGCTTGCGGGGTGGTCGTCTCTTCTTGCCGTGAGACCCTGAGAGCTTCCAGAAGATCGATTCGTTCTTTACATTGCAATTCCAGCTGTTTCAGTGCCTCTTGTAAGGCTTTCTCGGTGTCTGTACGTGGGCCATATGCGGGGGGCGCCCGATTTGCGTTGTAATCATAGATCTGATCAAGGGCAGCTCGCCAATGTCGCATGGCTTCTATCTCATTACCCTAGACCCAAGTCAGTGATCAGTAGATAATTGAGGGAAGTGAAGTAGCCAAAACTTACCTGGCCTTCATAGTAGATAGCAGTTGAGCAACTCAGATAACTATCATCGTAGGTCTTCTGCAAAACAGCCAGGGCCCTGTTCCGTAACATGGCTCCCACTGCAAATCACTACCATAGTAGCCCAGAGACTAGCCCGCCGACCGTGAAAGACTGCCGTGGTGTTGACTGTTGTGTATTTGGCGAGCAGAGCAGATTGCTGAAGGTTGTTTAGGTGGGGACGCGTTTGGGCGGAGGAGTTGAATTGATGAGCCAATGCCTTGGTATAACAGGGTCGCGTACTGGTGTTTGGTACGATTGGAAACAAGACGTGATCGAGTCAAGGTCGATGGTATAAGGCGCTGTCTCTGGTGATGATAGTTAAACGTGATCAAGTTGATCGACCTGCATGCCTGACATGGATTAGCAGGTCAAACTTGGGCGGGCGGTGACGTAGTCAAGGATCGCACCGCCCACCCTACCTAGTCGCAATAGATGGTGGCGGGGTACACAATGAGCCTCATACCTACTAAGGTAAGTACATACTAATGAGCTACCTTACCTACTAACCTAGGTACCTACCTAAGGTAGTACCTATCATAAAACAGAACGCTCAACAACAGCTGTGGAAACATCCAGTGTAAAGCCAGTCGTTTATTTGTGATCCAGCCGTTGGAAAATAATCAATCTGATAGAGTACGCGTGTGATACTGTAATAATTTTGCACTTCTGCTCAGTCGTATTTCTAGCTTCTCTACATGCTTACTCCTGGGCCATCTATATCGACCCCTTTATCTATGAAAGCAATACACGAATCTCGGCGGCTGTTCTAGGGAAAACCGACCGTAGACCTTCGTCATCTTCTGAATCAACAGATTCATCATCTCCCTCAGTTATAACCTCTTCAAGCTGTTCAAAGTCATTGCAGAACTGTTCTGCTGCCTCCTCCGTGATTTGTCGAACCAACTTCGAATCCTGCAGGTGCTTCAAATTATCCATGGCGTCCATGAGTGCTGATGGCAGAAAGTCATCCAATGTCTGGCTTGCTTGAGCGAGCTCTTTCTCATCCAACAATGAAGCGTTCTTGTCGTCATCCTCCTCCAGCTTCATGAAAATTGCGTCCAACCCTGACCCCTTTCGAAAGAATTGGTATTGACTCGTAATGAGTCCTTTAGCTGCATCATCTGACTTCGCTCGCAGTCGTTTAGTTCGATGTTTTGTGAATTCGAACGGCTCTAGACATGCTATCGCAGAAGATATACAATTAATCAGGAAGATCGCACCGTTCTGGGCATTCATGTTCTTAGCCATGTTTTCACAACCCGACATGAATGGTTCAAAGGCTTCTGAAAGCACATTCTCGAACTCGCTCTCGCGATCCTCCGAGGTCGATAAGGAGGAGTCGTAAGTCTTGCTGATGGCCTTGAGTTGTTTGAGCGAATCTTGCAAAAATGCCGGTGGGCCAAGGTCTAATGGAGCGTGCTGGAATTCTCCCTGTAAAGTTGCAATGTGATCTCTGACAAGTGCTCGGAACTGGCGTAAGGCCTCTGTTTCCAGGCCTCCGATCAACTCTACCAAATTGGAGCTGGGCCCGAGCGTTTTTTGGAAAGTGATCCGGTAGAAATTGATCAGATTTGCGAGTTTATAGGCGGGTATGGTGTCTTCGTTGGCTTGGATCACCTGCTCCATCCTTTGGCGAAGCACGCGGGCAGCGCCAGAGATGTCGCGGTCGACTAGGTCGTTCAGTGCCTTGAGCGCATTAAAGTCAGCCTCGGCCTCATCGTCCTCTGCAATGAGGCGCCAGATCTCTGCGTCTCGGCCAGATTTGAAACCCTTGGCAAGTTCCTCCCCCTCTGCGACAAACAAAACCTCCAATGCCTCACGTTCACTGACAGTGGCTGAATGAATCCAAGCTAGCATGTCACCCACGTAGCGTAGCGGATCATGTGCCAGCATGTCAATGGGCTTCACAGAGGGATCTTCAATATCAGAGGGCGAAGCACCTGTCAAAGCGACATAGAATGAGTCGGAAAGGATTCGTTCTCGAGCCTCGGAGAAGAAGTCGAGACAGTTCTGGAACAGTGATGGCCTTTCGGCAAGAACTCGCAATGCCCGGCGAATTGATGAGTTCATCTGTGGATTTTCAAGATTCAATGTCTTGAACTCTCGCTGTATCCATTTGTAAAGTTTTTGGAAACCAAGATTGATGTTCTTCGAAGTTTGCTCCATCAGTTCTAGGCCCAGAGTCTGTTTCTCGAATCCAAGCAGGATCTCGCAATCCTTGCTGATCTTTTTCGCTTTGCTTAAGGCATCGAAGAAGCGGTCATCTACTGGCTCGGCTGTTTGAGTAAGTGCGGCAACCTCATTCTCCGACATGACAAAATGCTTCTTGAAAGCGCCGAGCAGCTCTTGCTTCAACTCAACCTGTCTTTTTTGGTCCAAGAGAGAGGATGCCTCGGAGAGTGCTGGCAATGTCTGCCTATGAGCTTCGACAACTTGGCTTTTCATGTCCTCGTAACCATTATTAAGCTTGTCAATAGTCGTTTTGATACGCCGAAGTTGCTATTGCCATGTTGGTACGATGTCCTGTAAACAAATGCTTGAACCCACCTCTGCAACCCGCCCAAATTCGGCAATAACTTCTCCATTACTGTCAATGACTTCTTTTTGTAGGTCTAGTCGAACACTTCGACGAGTTTCGGCGTCGTTTTGGATCCCACGTTCATCAAGAAGAGCGAGAGCGTCTCGAAACTCTGTATCAGAATGAGTCGTCGAAAGAACACTGGTCACTTTGGATGTAAGTGGAGTGATCCCTCTTGGTGTGGAGGGAGTTTGTGGATAGCCATCTGGAGCAAGGAGTCCTGAAACAGATGCATCTCTCATAGGCAGGCTCTTCAATGACAATGAGCGATCTGTAGGTGCCATATCGTAGTAAAACAGCAGTAATACTGCTCAGTCGAGTTGTTGCCGCCGGCAAACTTTAACTTATTCCGCGCAAGCCCATGAATCGACCGAGCTCGATGGAGCAACTGAGTAAATCTGTTAATATTGATCCTAAAACCAACCGCGACCACGAGCGATCCCTATATAGATACTCCGTTTAGGACAAGGACGATCATGTAGATGGGAGTGCCAGGTGTCGTGAAGGGTGCATGGAATAGGAAGGCGGTGTGCAACCATCCGCTGGGTCTTATCGGTATTTGTCTGGCAGAATCGCATGCCGCTCTGTAGCGTCATACCAGCGGCTGGTGATGCCTGGAGCATTAAACTGCCTGTATATCATCAACCTGCAAGTGATTTATTCACTTCCGTTTCAGGCCAGAGGCGCACGGTTTCTTTGTGGTCTTCAACTTCCGTTTGATTAGACTCTGTCGCACCGGACCGTTGCCTTGCTTGAAGTAGGCATGTGCCTCGGGTCACGCTTATCGTGATCAACGTCCCCTTGTGACCTTAGGTTACCTATCCTCCATATTTTACTGACATTCAACGAATAAAGTTACGTTCGTCATAATTCCTGGATCCCCAAGTTCAACAAAACCCAAGTCCAATTATTTCATCAAGGTGCAAGGGAGAAACCCTTGCTCGTCTCCCATTCACGGCAAGACAACAACCCAGCGTCAACATCATCGATCGCCTTCGAACCGCCTCGATCCCAAACCAACATGCCCGCTGATCTTTACGCTTGATTCATCGACAGAACTCGATATGTCCTCAAAGTTATTCTCCCGATCGAATTTCCCCGCAAGAGGGTCACGGTCGTTTTATGAACAGTTACGTTCTGGAGATGATGACGAGTACGATCCCGGCATCGATGAAGAGAACCTTGGCCATCGATTCGATGACGATTTTCATCCCGAAGGACTCGATATTGGCGATAGCCGTATGACAATAGAAAGCGCAGCTCTGGACCCAAAGGGCAAAGCAAGGGCTAAGACACTAAGGAAGCAGGCGCAAAGTTCCGGCGGACCGTCGCCGCGATGGCACCAGCAGGACGACGACGGTGACAACGAGGTGCCTGCATCGTTGCTCATGGAGCCAAATGAAGCAGTAAACTTGCCCCCAATGTCGCCCAGACGAGCAGCCCCATCCAACGATCATCAAAGTCCAGAAGTTGCAGGCCCATCATCAGCACGGGCAAGGGCCCAGTGGGAAGCAGCCACAGCTCAGCAACAACTTCATCAAGAAAATAGTTATGGAGTGCCCGTTGGACCACAGCCTATTCCCGTAGCTAGGGGCTCAATAGCGAGTAACCCGAGGGAGAAAGCACTCTGGCGATGGGTTAACACCTCAAATCTAGACAGCTTTATGCGGGATGTTTACGACTATTATGAAGGTGGGGGACTGTGGTGCATTCTGTGTGCTAACGCTCTCTGGCTCTTGTAAGTATTCTGGTCATCAAGGTATGAAACAGGAGTGGCTAATCGGTGCTTCAGGGAGACACTTTTCGTCGCGGTGTTGCTAACCTTCCTATGTCAATGCATTGACTATTCAAAGATTCCACACAGCAAGTCCTTACATGAGGTTGTAGTCCCCCAATGCACACGCAAAATGTCCGGTCTCTGGAACCTGGCGATTTGGCTTTACACCTTCTTCTTCATCTGGAAGTGTGTACAATACTTTGTGGAGATTCGCCGCCTCCTCTACATCAGGGACTTCTACATTTACTTGCTGGATATCCCAGAACAAGACATGCAAACTGTTTCGTGGCAGGATATTGTGGCTCGTATTATGGCCCTGCGTGAACAGAACCCGAAGACTGCAACAAACATCACACCGAAACTGAGACAGTTCATTGGCAGCCAGTCGAAAGAACGGCTTGATGCACACGATATTGCTAATCGACTCATGCGTAAAGAGAATTACCTCATTGCGATGATCAACAAGGACGTCCTGAACTTGTCTTTGCCAGTTCCGTTTCTTCGCGGCCGCCAGCTATTTTCAAAGACAATGGAATGGTATCTTCATTACTGCATCCTTGATATGGCCTTTAACGAGTTGGGCCAAGTTCAGCAGGACTTTTTGCGCCCAGATCGCAGACGCCTCTTGAGCCAGAAACTGAAGCAGCGGTTGATGTTCGCAGGGTTCCTCAACCTTATTTTTGCGCCTGTTGTGCTTGCATATGTTGTCATTGTTTACTTCTTTACTTACTATTATGTCAGTAGTTGAGCCCAGGCACTCTGTTCTTTGAAAGCTAATTCCTTTACAGGAGTACACAAAGGATCCCAAGCAAGCTGCAGCGCGCAAGTACACTTCTCTCGCAGAATGGAAATTCCGCGAGTTCAACGAACTGCCACATATATTCTACGAAAGGCTGCACATGTCTTATCCATTCGCCACTCGGTATATCGATCAGTTCCCGAAGAGGATGACTGAAGACATTGCGCGAACCATCGCCTTCATGACAGGCGCAATTACGGCCATCCTCGCCGTGGGCTCTATTCTTGACTCGGAGCTTTTTATTAACTTCGAGATCACGAAAGACAGACCAGTCCTATTCTATCTCGGAATTTTTGGTGCCATTTGGGCTATCACCCGAGGAATGGTGTCTGAAGAGACATTGGTGTTCAATCCCGAATATGCCTTGATGAATGTCATTGAGTACACACACTACATGCCCGATCACTGGAAAAACAAGCTTCACAGCTTCGAGGTTAAACAAGAGTTTGCAGAGCTTTACAAGATGAAAGTGGTCATCTTTCTCGAGGAGGTGATGGGCATAGTCACGACACCTATGTTGCTTTTGTTTTCACTGCCTAAATGCAGTGACCAGATCGTTGATTTCTTCCGCGAATTCACAATCCACGTTGACGGACTCGGCTATGTCTGCTCCTTTGCGGTATTCGACTTTCAGAAAGGACCAGGGAATACAGGCCATCAGGGGCAACGACCGGATGTTCGTGAGGACTACTACTCAACGAAGCACAACAAGATGGCCGCATCTTACTTTGGGTTCCTTGATAACTACGTTACAAACCCCAAGACTGGCATCCCTGGCCATACACCGTTTGGAGGAAAACCAGCCTTTCACCCACCTCCAGCTTTCCCAGGACTTGCTTCTCCATCATTAGGAGCAGACATGCAGGGTTCTCATATTGGTCGGGCGGAAACGGGACGTGCCAGAAGTAGAGCCCCCGGTGGACGAGGTCCACGTACGGTACCAATACCACAGCCTTCTCCGATGGCTTCTATCCTGCTAGATCAGCACCATCAACCAGCTGGGGTGAACATGGGTGCACGTAGTCTTCATTGGTCAAGGTATCCGCGAGGATTCCGCGGGGAAAGCCAGATAACTGAAGAAGCTGAAGATAGCGCGATGAGACGAGCTGGGGAAGATGACGAACCGTACGAGCCAGGGGGGGGACTAGGTGAATCGACCTGGGAAACGTCTCCAGCGAAAGGGGTGACCCGGGAGAACAGTGCAGCCAATACAGAGGATCCCGGTGAAGGCGTATTGGGTATGATATACCAGCTTCAGCAAACGCAGCGATCCCGGCGCGGTGGGGGCATGGTCTGATATAGAACATCTCTCCGGGGTTTCATTCATTCATTTATTTTTCCATTTTGGATGAACCGCATGGCGTCAAGGCGCATACTGGAAGTTATCTCACTGGAATACCTTACTCCTTGGAAAATGGAGGTGGATTTTATTGGCGCTTTGCATAGATTGGGTTTTGTTTATTGCAACTATCTGTCTTGTGACTGGTAGTGAAGGATTGGCATCGGAGCGTCGGTCAGTGTACTCGGGTGGCAGAAGTAGGCTCTTGGGTATAAATGAATAAGTCCACTATATTTGGATTGAAGCATTGCACCCATCATTGAGCTTTTAGAAACTGTATAGGCTGGTCTGCTACTCGTAGGTCTATACGAGAGGCAAACGAATTCCAACGAGAACATCGGGTTTGGGGTGATAAATCCGAGGTCGTGACATGTGTCTCGTAACGACGAGTCGTATTTGATGATAATACCGAGGCCGTTTGTACATACAGACAAAACACAGTCAACGGGAGGTTTCTTGCACAGAGACTACATACGATAGGTAGCAAACGGAGGAAACGGGAAAGGATAGATTTAGAAGAGGGTGTGATACTGATGACATTAAGAGGGAGCTTACAGACCAGATCAGATGAGCCAGGTGCAAACACACACGAGCTGTAACTTCAGGTGTCTGATAGTTAAGCGAGAGTTAAACAAAGACCATCCATCAATCAATGTTGCAATGCGTATTCGTCAATCTCGAGTGACTGGGTCACTCCAAACCCCTACTGCTTGGCTGATGGCCATTTTCCAGACGAGACGAACCTATGCCATGGAACTCCAACGTGGGTTTTCAGTTTGAGGTCGAGGACTGATTGATTAGAGAGAATTGGGTCCCCGAACTGATTGATAACCTAATTCCAAGGTGTGAGACCCCCCTGTCATGCCCTGATCCCTGGGTTGCAACTGGGCTCATGATTCGGTGAAAGATGAGATTCGACTGGTGCAGGTCCATGTCTCACCCTGATGTCTGTGTCTGTGGGCATGAGTGAATATCCAAATTATTTAAATATATTCTAATCTCATCTTATCAGTACCAAAAGCAAGCCTGATTAACGTCGCCTGCCCGTGCTAATGTGAGCTTCTAAGCTTCCTACGCTTTCCCTCCCCTGAACGTCGGAAGCACTTGAATTGAGACCTAGGTATGAATGCATGAATGGATGGATGGATTGGATACACCGCGTGGTCACGATGCCTCCTCCATGGATGTTAGTCACGGGTGCTCTGTCTCTTGTGGAGTTGATCCAGTCACTGAGTTGGCCTCATATCCACGGTACAAAGTTAGTAGTAGGGATTGAATCTTGGTATTACTATGTAAGATATTCCTCTGCCTCGTGTTCGCGCCCGATATTCATATTTCTCGTAACAACATGCTGTTAACCTCGGCAGCTATTCGTGCAAGCTAGTAAAGATCGATATGTACTGATCTTGATCTTGATTCCAAACCCGACGAGACGGTTACAGGGATTGTGATATGATATGAAGTGACGCTGATCCACTCTGCAAATCAGCAAATTGGCCAGTTTACGTACAGAGATGAGCATCTACCTTGTCTACGGAGTACGGATAGTGCAGATGGCCTTGCTGCTTGTATGTGCTGTATCTCTGCGTGACCTTCCACGCCTTCTATTATTGGGCGCGAATGCGCGCTGAGCTGAGACACATAAATGTACAGATAGGTAGGTACGAATACATACAATCAGAAAACAGAGTATTGGCGAATATGTCAGGCTTCAATTCGCAGCTCACAGTTGTGTATCAAGGCCAGCATTCGTGGGTAAGGTAATTGCAGTAAAGAACGAACTTGTGATATTAGGGCCGAGTCCGCCATCTGGCAATCGTTACTGCTCCGGCGGTGGATAAACTGATAATGGATATGACTGCACTTCCGCGGGCATATAAGCGCAACAGGAGATGGCGGAGAAATGGCTCGCCTCACAATTTAGCAATGAAAATACCTCGCTGTTTGCTAAGGTAGCTTAGTCCATAGGTTGTTATCTGAGCCGACGCGCCGAGCTCCCTGAACCACGCTAGTCCAAACGATAGAGGCCCTAGAGGAGGGGGAAAGGGAGTAGAGGGGAGGGGAAAGGAGAAGACGTGTATGCGGACAGACGTAGGTACCTAGGTTAGTAGCTTGCAGCAGAAGGATACTTGCCGTAGCTCCCGTCCGGCCTCCGAGGCCGTAAACGGAGCTGTCTCATCCAGACCTAGAGGAGAAAAGAAAAAAAAAAGAAAAAAAATCTAGGTAGCCAGTAACTATGGGACTGCCCTGGACAAAGGGTAGCTCCAGAGCCTACAGGCACTTAACCTGGCCTGGAGATTTTCCCGGGCTGTCCAATTCAGACTAGGTAAGGTAGTTAGAACAACACCACCACCAGCCTCTGAACTACTTTTTTTACTCCATCGCCTCCGCTCGGCTTTGGACTTCTTTCTTGCATTTCTTACACCTTTTTACTGCCGGCGACAAGACTTACTATTCATTGATCGGTGTATTCGAATAGGCCGAGGCGAATCAAGAACAGAGCTCGGACATAGCAACCACTTTGCACGGTCTTTTCAGCTCCAGCAAGTCGAGGCCTTATTTTTCGCCCCGAACTTAGTACCTAGGCCTTATCTCAACTTCGACATCGTCATCGTTTTCGCGACCATCCTCAGGCGCAACTCCATATCTTGAGCCTCCTGCAGCCCCCGTACACGACATAGCCGACTCCATCCACGGCACATATCGCTCGTCGTCACTTTTACAGCAGCAATTGCCTCGATACCTCCTCCAGTCGCCAACCTGGCGGCCCTCGAGACCAAGCCTTTCGGCGGAGCATCGGAAGCTGTGGCCGCCATGGCCCAGCCAAGTGCAGACCCAGTCGAAGAATACGAGTGAGCACAACTCAACATCCTCTTCCAGATGGACACATACACCCCAGGGCCTCGAAATTGACTGGTTTTCGCACAGCTATGAATCTCTTCCGCCCAACTTCTCCCTCCTGCAGAACATGGCAGCAGGCGCCTTTGCCGGCATAGCAGTATGAAACCCTCCGACAAGCAATACGAGTTATACCGGGCTAATTTTGCGTCTTCCTGCAGGAGCACACTGCCATGTATCCCATTGATGCAATCAAGGTATGCTTCTAACCTGCACTCTCTCTACGCGTTCGTGCATGCTTTGTCGATCTCGAGTCTGACACAATTCTTAGACCAGAATGCAAATCCTCAACCCCAGCACCACACCGGCCTACTCGGGCGTCATTCGTAATACCGTTCAAATTGCCCGCACCGAGGGATTCTTCAGCTTATGGCGCGGCATGTCTAGTGTCATAGTTGGAGCTGGTATGTAAACCACGTCGTGGCCAGGCCTGTTAACCGTTGCTAAAATCACTTAGGTCCTGCGCATGCCGTCTATTTTGCAACATATGAAGCAGTCAAACATGCCATGGGCGGTAACCAGGCCGGTGTACACCATCCCCTCGCTGCTGGTAAATATACAATTTCTGCTCAGTTTGCGATCTGACAGCTACTGACTAAATCTCCGCAGCCACCAGTGGTGCCGCTGCCACTATTGCTAGCGACGCGTTCATGAACCCTTTCGATGGTACGCTCCCTACGCCGCAACTTTTCGAGCACCTAGAACATGGCCGCTGACAACCTGTTACAGTCATTAAGCAGCGCATGCAGATTCAAAATTCGAGCAAGATGTACCGATCCATGCTGGACTGCGCCAAATATGTCTACAAGTCCGAGGGCCTGGGCGCTTTCTACATCTCGTACCCTACGACACTGTCCATGACAGTCCCCTTTACAGCTCTACAGTTCCTCGCATACGAGTCTATTTCTACCGCCATGAACCCTGCAAAGAACTACGACCCCTTGACACATTGTTTGGCCGGTGCTGTTGCTGGTGGCTTTGCTGCTGGTCTTACCACTCCCATGGATGTCATCAAGACTATGCTCCAGACTCGCGGAACCTCCACTGACCCCGAAGTGAGAAGCGTCAACAGTTTTATCGGAGGCTGCCGCCTATTATATCGAAGAGCCGGTGTCAGAGGCTTCTTCAAGGGTGTGCGACCTCGCATTGTTACCACAATGCCCAGCACAGCCATCTGCTGGTCGGCATATGAGTTTTCAAAGTATGTGGCATGGCTAAATCAAATTGGTAACCGAAGCTAATGTTTAAACCTAACCAGGTCCTACTTCATCAAGCGCAACGATGCCGCCTGAACATCACATCTAAGTCTTGGAATACTTGGATGACCAGACCTCAACTCTGCATAGATTTGCAACCATGTTCGACACCCTACGATTATCTTCATGAGAGATGGCTTTGGGAGCGAGGACGCTTTAGAGAGCATGGATATGGGACTGAGACGGCTACAACGACAGCATCCGAAATACCCTTGAACAAAACCCTTTTGATTCGACGCTTCCCCGGTACGGCTCGAGCCCTTTATCCGGAGGACCTCTACCGACTTTGCAAATGACCACGACCTCACAAAGGACGACGGTCAAATAAGGATCGAGGCAAGCGACGGATCGTGTACATAAAGAAATATCATCACTTCTTACGAACGAAAAAATCGGAGAGCGGCGACCTGAATGGGAAACGGACGAGTTATTGCTAGTGTTGATTCATGCAGTTAGACAGCGGAAGAGTGTTATGATAGGTTGCCTGTTGTTACTTATGTCAAAATACTAAGCGGATATGCTTTGGCATCATACCTTTTCTAACGGGTCTTGATTCACACATTCATTACCTTGGATCTCGCATAAGTTGTGACTATTCCAATTGGAGCAATGGGTTTGTTCTGTTCCTCAAAGGTGGCAATGCGTGTGTCCATTGCGATGTCGCTGTGGCGCCGACGTCGGCGGTGATGAAATTGTACCGAGGCCGAGCAACCACGCTTCTTCAGGCTACTAAAAACTAGGCAAATAAATTGACATATTGATTTGACTTGAATATTTGACTTGCGGTATAAACATATAATTCTCAAGGTATACGATCTCACTATATACTGTTCTTGACGAAAGTGAGCGATCCGCGGAAACTCCGACGCCATTAACCCCTATACTCCTGTTGGGAGGACAGCCCCGCGCTTCTTGATCTCTAGGCAAAGATGTAGGTACCAGCAAAGACTCCCTCCCGATCAAGCAAAACTGCCTCTGTGGATTGATCCCTTCGCTATGTAACTCCTCAGTAGTATCTTTTTCAAAACTTCAAAATCTGTCGCGTGCTTCCTAGAATCCAAATGGTTGACCACCGAACTGGAACTTGATATTGGGACCACCACCCCCACCGCCTTGCTGGAACATGAATGGATGACCACCACCACCGAAGGGGTTGCCCTGTCCCTGGAAAGGGTTTGGCCTCTCTTGAGAGTTGGGATCATCGCCACGGTCGAAACGGGCACGTAATTCGGGGTCGCTAAGAACTTCGTATGCCTCGTTGATGCTGGCCATCTTCTTCTCGGCCTCTTCCTTGGGGATACCTTGTTTGGCGGCCTTGTCAGGGTGGAAGATCTTTGATTGCTTGCGGTAGGCCGACTTGATTTGGCGCTCGTCGGCGTCGTTCTCGACACCAAGCACCTTGTAATAGTCCTTGGTCTTGCTGCGCTTGAGGGCAATATGAGCCTTGTTAAGAATTGGGTTGACCTTCTCCTTCAGATCGGGGCGGATCTCGGCGGCCTTCTCAAGGGTAGCAATGGCGGCGTCGTAAAGCTCACTCTTGAGTTGAGCCTTACCCTTGTGAAGAAGACCCCAGAAAGAGTCAGGGTTGAGTTGTAGTGACTCGTCACAGTACTTGGGTGCTTCTTTGTGGCTTGACTACGGTAGAGTTTAGTGATATGCAGGGATTGTACGAGGCCGAAGAACTCACCTCGGTGTATGCTTGACAGGTCATCTCGACCAAATTCTCCAGAAGCTGGATACGGGCGGTCTTAGGGATGCTCTTGTTCTTCTTAAGCTCCTCCACTTGATTTCGGACATCAGGCACCAAGCCAGAATCATCGGCAGTACCGACCAATGCCCTGCCCGCTGTGGTAGGCTGTCCTCGGCTGAGTTGTCCCTGGATCTTCTTGTATGCTTTCTCGACCTTCTTCTCCTGCTTGTGCAACTTCTTGCAGATCTTGGAATCAGGATCTGATTGAAGACACTTCTTGACTTGTCCAATACCATTCTCCAGGTCACCCAAAGCGTAGAACGAAGTCGCCGAAATGACGATATGGGGAGAAGTGTCGCCAGGCTTCATGTGAAGGACGTGCTGCAGATCGCTAAGGGCAAGTTCGACATCGCCGAGCTCGAAGCGACAGTGCGCTCGGAGTTCACGCAGATGAGGAGATCGACTCGCGACAACGATTGCAGTACCGGCATGGCTGACACACTCTTCCCACTTCCCGCCCTTGCTAGCCATGTCAGCTAGGTGAGCTGCCAGCTTGGCCTCTTCCAGCTCGACAAACTCAGCCGACTTGGGAGCCTTTCCAGCAAGACCGTACTGGGCCTTTGCGGCATCCCAATCTCCAGCCTTGGCACGAAGCCTGGCGAGTTGAAGATGGGCTCCCTCAAAGCCAGGCTTGAGGGACAGGACTTTGTTGAAATCGTCAGTTGCCTGCGAGGTTCGGCCGAGTGAGAGATATGCGGTGGCCCGTTTAAAGAGGGAAAGGTAGTTCGTCGGGTCGCGGGCGATGGCAGCATCGTAGTACACGAGAGCTTCGCTGGTCTCGCCACGGGACAGATGTGACTGCGCCTTTGTCAAGAGGTTCGAAACAGGGAGATCGGCCGGGATATCTTGCGGCGAAAGGGCGCTGGCAGTTGCGAGGAAGGCCGTAGCAGCCACCGCCAGACCAGCAAGATTGAGATGCATCTTATCTTGATCAAGTTTGTTCGAGTCCAACCAAGTATTCTATCGATAGGTCGAGGGGCAAATCGCAGGCGATGTATATAAATTGCAAGATGTTAGCGGCAATGCATCCACTTCAGTGGGTGCTATAGTTGACGACGAGTACACGGCGGCAACGATGGCAAAGTCTGCTTGAGTATAGAAGAATAGGGACAAAGAAAGAATAGAGGGTTTAGCATTGACAAGGGACAAAAAGGACAACTCAACTTGTTAAAAGAAGCCAACAACCGGAAAAGGCGACACCACTCAACTTAGCCGGGAGAGTTCACGTCTGTCAGCCAGGTACATGGATCAGTCTGGAATGCCATAGGTGGCCACAAGTACTTGTCTACCAATCCAGGCGGAACCCCCCCAAACTCGGGCCCGAGCCTACATGTCTAGCATGTTCTTCCTGCAGGAATTAGTGGCGGGCACTATAACTTAGTACACTCAGGGACCGAATCATTTCTGCCACAGCAGTTTGCATGGGTTCCCACCTCCAAATCAATCAATTGACAGGGACTCGACCCGACCGGGAACGACAGGCACGGCCTGCAGCTAGCCAGGGCCGGGTTGTTTGTTCTGTGGCGTCACCGTCACGACCGCTATTGATTTGATTGATTGATTGATTTGTTTTGTTGATGCACCTCAAACTTGGAGACTTCCGCACCAAACCCGCTCCTTGATTCACGACAGAGACATTTATTCACCTGTCCTCTCACGCACCCAGCCATGGCGCATCATCGTCTCCTCAGCCAAGATTCGGCCATTTTCTCTCCGTCGGTTGCTCGTATCGCGGCTTCCACCGCCCGCGATTGGTCCTATATCGACGCCTGGCTCTCCTCCAAATTTCATCCTCGACCAGTCCCGTCTTTCGAGCGCAATAACGACACTCTCAAAGCCCTATTAACCCTCGCCTCTGTCAACGAAGCTGCCGATGATGAGCGTAATCTGGTAGCCAAGTCTGAAGCAACTGCTTTGCAGGAGCTCGCCGACTCCGAGAGGAAGATCGACAAGACCAGCCGGCCACTCAGGGAAGGCCTCATTGAAGCCGTGGAGCACAACCTGCCTACCGACGGCCACACCGCTCTTGATGCCATGGCCAATATGGCTCTCCAATTCGGGGTCGCTTTCCCAGAGCCCGACACACTAGGTCAGCGCATGTGCCAACTTCAGGCAGGCATCCATGATGCTGAACGGATGAAGGCCCGCGTCGAGGTTCTCCATAAACATATAGACGACGAAGCAGCTCGTGTAAAGGAACTTCTCAAAGAGCTACAGAGAGACGACTATCAGCCTCCGGCACATTTGGCCAAACAGAACCTCGACATGCAGCGCAAGGTCAAGGCGTTGTCCGCCAAACTACCTGAGCTTCAAGACAAGGTTGCTGCTCTGGCTGCATCCGCCGACGCCTCGCACCCAACCATTGCCGACCTTGCTCGCGACGAGCAGGCATACTTGTCAGTGTTGTCACGAAAGAAGGAGCTTGACCTCCAGCTGGCCACGTTTCAAGGTCTTCCTAGCAATCCAGATGTGGCCAGAGCAGAACTTGAAGAGCTTCGAGATCAGCTACGTTCCGTAGAATCGCAGCGTGATGCTGTCTTTGAAGGCTTAGTGGAACGTGAAAGTCCTGTTAAGCGACGACGCTGAGTTTGCCTTATTTGATCCTTGGCCTGATACTATACATTAATGAACCTGAACACTATCAACTCTACTTCCACATCAAGTCGACACACCAGAAAAATAACGCTCAGTACCTATATAACCAAAGTGGAATCAGTCGCTATGGGTTTCGCCGCCCTTTACCTGCCACGGCGCCACCCAATCTTCCAAATTGTCTACCCAACCCGATTCTTTTGGCCGGCACTGGGGGAGCGGGTGCCGGCTCTTTCTGGGGAATCGTTTGCAAGCCGACACCCCGTGCTTCCTTGCCTTTGACGTCTACCGCTCCGTCGCCAATGCGGAGTTCACTGACCCCCATCGGTGGGACTTCGTCACCGTCCATGTTGTTCTGACGCTGCGCGCGTCTAGCTCGTTCCTGCACACTTCGAAACTTTTCCAGGAGTTCAACCCATCGTATATTCCCCTCTTCCCTGCTCTTGAGTCGATTGGGTCTGTCAAAATTGGAGCTGCTTGTAGTTGGAGGAGCCCTGTCCACAGGTTAGCTTGCCACAAAAGCCAGTATATGCCACTGGGAGTTCAGAGCTAAGCAAACCTTGCCCAACACGCCAACAGTAAAGTAATCTTCAACTTACGTTCGAGGTGCCGCATGTAGATAACCAATAGAGCTGACGCTGTTGAGTCTGTTCTTCAGCGCAGCAAATGCCGAGGACTGCGGTAGAAGCATGAGAATACCATACATGCACTTGTATAAGTATGGGTACTTCTCAGGTTCCAGGAGCTGTAGTCTTAAGTCTGGGCGGGTTGTTAGTTCGTGTACGACAAGTGGATGATGGTGACTACGCTTACAAGTGAAGACGGGTGACTCAATGAGCTGTACTAGTTTATCTACTTGTATGAGCATGTTGACTGTCATGTCCAATTCACCGCTGAAGCGCGTCAGTGTGAGTAGAATATTCTGTTGCGCCCGGGCTTACAAGATCTGCAGCAAGTTGTAAGCTTGCTCATAGGCCTGGGCGAGCAAGCAAAGTGAGAAGGTGGCGACAGCATTATAGCACCATGATCGAAACAATGCCACAAATAGCGTTTGACCATCCTTGAAGTTGTCAGCATTCTTGTCTTGAATTGTAGCCTAGGAGGCGTTCCCCTACCTTTGTTTCAAGGTTTCGTAATCTTTTTCGAACGTCTGCTAGCTGTGGAGCAGTAATGAGGTTGTTGTTAAGGTTCTGCACCATTATGCTTGCAAATTCGACGTCTTCCTCTTTCTCGATGCAGTCTGCTAGTGTCCTGTAAATCCTCTCCGGGCTCAGGCTTAAACACAGTTGCCGAATGATGAGATTTCCTCGAGTTTCAAGCAGCTTTCGATCTGTTGAGAAAAGCTGTAAGAGATTGACCATGAAATTTGCAAAGTAGTCGTCCTCTGTATTCCTTGAGATTTGTGAGAGAAGCTGAAGATCCTTGGTTACTACGGCGTCTGAGGGATCGGACAATGTCTTCAGCAATGCTGGGAACGTGCCATCGTTGAAAGCGAGGACCTTTCGGGGAGCCTTCCTGTGCAGCATAATAAGCCACGTCAAGGCGGCCACCCGGGTCGCTTCATGGTCGTTGAGGAAGAGGAGAGTCAGGGAGTTGACGGCGGCGGCATAGTCCAGATCGGCTTGTGTCTGCGTAATGTTGATATCAGCGGGAGTCGATATCGAGCGGCCTTGAGCAGGCGTAGGACTACGGAGATCGAGGTCTCTAGAGCTTGATAGAGATGCCCTGTTGCTGTTGTTGCCCTCGGCCCCCTTTTCTCCGGGAACTGGAAGTCGAGAGGTTGAGAGATGTTGAGGCGGCTGAACAGGAGGTGGCGGTTGACTCAACTCCGAGTCGTCAGAGAGTGAAACGACATAGTCCATCAGGCATGTGTTGACCCGGGTTGCTGCTTGATGAATGGTTTCTTTGGTGCTGGCCATAGCTGGGAGCATATGGGCGAGGATCTTGGGCGTAAAGGGAAGGACTTCTTCAGGGCAAATATCTAGAAATTCAACAACCCATCTTAGTGACTCGAGGAGACAATCCTCCTCTGATGTCATATTAGCCGTCGTCCAAGGAACTTCAAGGATAACAAACCTAGCGGAGAATCGAGCGTGGCAGTAAGTATCTGGAGAATCTCCTTGTAATTTATCTCGACATCTTGTCCAGGAATCCAATCCTCTCCACTATCGTCATCGTCATCGAGTGCGGCGTCTGAGTCGAGCTCATCTCCTTCCTCAAAGTCAGGGTTTATCGATTCGCTATCGATCGAGTCTTGTCGTTTCCGCTTGGCGCCCTCTTTAGACCGTTTGCTTTCCAAGATGCCCTTCTTTATACGCGCAATGCGCTTGATCTCGTTCAAAAACTTATCCAAGCAGGTTTGTGTGGCAACCCTCACATCCGAATTCTGGTCAGAAAGGAACTTGAGAAGACCTCCAAGGAAGTCTGGGAGATATGTGACGAGCTCCAGGTCGGGTATAGAATCGAGCAACGTAATCCATCCCACAAGGAACTGCCGAGTGAAGGGATTAATAACCCAAATGCGCTCTTTCAGGAGTGGAATGAACCGAGGTAGGGAGAACGCCGTCGGCAAGTGAGAGTTCTCGCCCAGCGAAACCTTATCATCGCCATCGAACTCTGGCGGTGCCTCGAGAATAGAGACGTATGAAGCAGCAGACTCAGATACAATATCTTTTACGAGTCGATCCAACAGTTCCGCTCCGTTTTTGACTGACAGCTCCGAGTCCGCCCCAAGCTGGCAAGCCCAGCATATCAGTATGGTTGACTTATCAAATGTGAAGCCCGGAGGGGAGAACATACCTTGCAAAGCTGATCAAAGATACTATTAAAATACACCAATATTTCTCCCTTTGCAACCTTGGCTATATTGTACATGGCCTCGCAAGCATAATACCTTACCCTTGCATCTTGGTCGGTGAAACATGCCAGGACAGGGGGAACAATCTTGGCGAGATATCTGGGTAGTTCCTGGCTTGTAAGTTAGATATAGACTCTTGGAGAAGACTAAGGTACTAGATCTCTTCTAAGACATCCAGCATTGAAACGAGAAGATGCCGTAGGTTGAAACGTACTGGACCAAGGGCAATAGCGGCGGCAGCGAGGCCTATCAAGCCGCCATTTCTTGCATGAGGCTGATGCACAGCGTACGCATAGTCGTTGCAAAGCTGTTCCAGAATATCATGAACTCGCTGATAGTCCTTGACACTGACTAGATCTCGAATTACACGCTCAAGCCTGTGGTATGAAAGTCAGCATTTGCATCTTTGAAGCTTGAAAGCAATGGTATTAAGTCGTCGGACCGAGGTATGACCTCTTGGCGAAAATGAAAGCAGAGCGCTATCGAGAATATTGCTGAGAATACAATGGATATATGTGATGGGAAGTGAGACATACTCCAGAGCCCCGATCTTACGTTTGTCGTAGAGCTTATCATTAAGGGCACGCTGGATGTTGGCATCCATAACTGTAGCTCATTCACATCGTCCGCTAGGCGCGACGAGATAGCGGTAGGTACGTAGCTTGCTTGCTGGCTCAGTGGAGGTAGATGGGGTGACAGATTATCTAACGATGACAGAATAAGAACGAACGAGAATCCCTCATGTGGTAAAGAAAAGTAAGGGAGAGCTTAGTTTGAGCTTGGAGTTGTTGTTGTCGTAGGTAGGAATTAAGTTCCAAAGTGGTTGGCTCGTTTGAGATGGAGCAGGGAATCTTGCTTCCATCCACGCGCACTGTATGGTAACCTGGACAGGGAAGGAGTAGCCCCACGAGTCTCGACTTTTGGGGGACGTCCACCTTTTAGGACTTTGTACTCCGTGCTCGTGATCTGACGTACCTAAGGTACTAACCTAGTACCTACGCCTTCGGACGCGTCTACTTTTGTGTTTCGACCTGTTGAACCTTGAGATTGAGTTTCATTTGTTTGTTGATTATGCATAGAAAAAGCCTAGAAGAGTACCTACTTGCTATTGATCGTTAACTCTACCTTATCAGCTTGCTGCCTGTATAAATGAGACTCCCACTTAACTCTCATCAAACCCGAAATCAATATATACTCTACTCTTATACTTAACAAGTCTATCCTAGGACATGCATAATCATATCAACCCGCATCAAGATCGGAATGTCGTTCTCATGAAATATGCACGCGTCCACGAATTAAACGCCTTAAGGCTTTATGCTTTCTGCCCCTCATCATGACCCCTCGTGCGACAAATCGACGTCACTCAACTACCACCACTGGCCCATGTGATGGGCGGCAAGCCCGGTTCTTCATCTGCCCAATGCTAACCTTGAAGCCTCAAAGGAACACCTTCGGCGAGGCTAAGGGCACATTTCATCACCACTACAGCTTACAACTCACCATGTGACCAAGGCTTACTGAGGTTAGTCAGAGGCCTCAAACCTGTGGTGCCCAAACAACTTCTATCATCTGGAAAGAGCCAGACGTTACTCCAATAGCTGAATCAGAAAGCTCAATTCCCCAGATGACCCAGCAAGAAATTCGATGCTCGCGGGCTGTACCATGGGTCGCACACGCAAGGCACTTGTTTCCCCCCCAAACCCAAGTCTCACAACTCCGGACTTTATGAGCTTCTAGACCAAGACTTTGCCCACACGCTGCCCTATGGAGAGCAGAGTTTGCTTCCAACATAGGTACTAAGTCAACAATTACACCTTGTGGCAGTGACACATCTCAATGCCTAAGACAATATCACGATTGTCGACGAGAAGAGAAAGTAAGACAGAAATATTCGTAAATTCGTCATTACACCTCACAAACGATCGAGCATGACAGTCCGCATCGGTCTAATCTAAGCAAAGCTTTTGACGATTTTGCAAGCAGAAACCGGCGCATATATATACAGCAAAATGCCAGTCTGTCGGTCATGTTTCGTCTAATGGTGATGGCCTGAAAGGTCCCCATTCTGAATCGCCTGCTGGCACTTAGCAAGGATGGCCGCCTGTCGAGAAACCTCTGCCAGCCTTCCAATAACCTGCTGGTTGCCGTTGGCGAACCCATACAACGCGTAAGGGATGTTGACCTCGTTACAGAACTCCTGGACGAGCTTCTGTGTCGCACGCAGATTATGGCGCGGTACGCGAGGGAAGAGATGGTGAATAACCTGGAACTGAAGTCCTCCATGGAAGAAGTCAAGCCACTCAGGACAATCAACGTCCATAGTGGTTCGAAGCTGTCTCTGTGGGAACGACTCCTGAGGTCCCAGTTCAACTGTGCTCATGGCAAAGTGAGACAGGACAATCTGAACATGGAGAGGCGAGGCGGTGATGTTGCTGATCATGACAAAGTAGAATCGGGTCCAGTTGTCAGGGAGAAGGTTGTATACCAGACCATAGCCGAACCAGGTCCAGAAGAAAACCTGTCCAATGATCTCAAGCCACCAGATAACCAAGCCAGGCCCCTTCTTTGGACCTCGGCCCATGATGAGGTGGTCCCATGAGAGTCGGTAGAGGTTGAAACGAGCCAGTGCAAGTAGTGGGTAGTAAGTCCAGGCCTGAACTCTAAGTAGAACTTTTGCCACAGCATCATAGGCCATGACTCTCTCGTAGTATGTTGATCTCAAGCTGCCTAGAAGACGGTGAGAGACGGCAAAGAGAGGCATGTGCTCAATATCGGGGTCGTGCTCCGGTGCATTGGTAATAACGTGGTGCACGTTGTGATTACGCTTCCACCATCCTATCGACAAACCTCCCATAAAGTCGGCGATCAGGGCTCCGATGCAAGAATCAATGAGGTAGCTATGAGTGATACCCATATGCCCAGCATCGTGGACTGTAAATGAGAGTTGATGCCAAAGGGCGCCCAGAAGAAAGGCACTCAGAGCGTACCATTCGTGGTGGAGACAGAAAGCTGAACCGACCGCCAATGCAGTGTATCGAATGAATTCGATTCCATAGGCCTTGTAGTTGCAGTTGTAAAGCCCTGTGTCGTAGACCTTCTGGTGGAGCTCGCGATATTTGGCAACGATCGTGGCTTGTGTTTCCTTGTCGGGAGGAGGGTACTTGTCGAGGTCGAGGCTGATATGTTCGCGAGTAATGGTATCAAGGTACGACATGCCATCAAGATCTGGCTCTTCTACGCTAGAAGCAGATGATATCGAGGGCGCCCGAGCTCCGTCCTTCTTGTTCGTCTTTCGCTGTCTTGCCCCGGCGGTCTCTTCCTCGTCGAAGACTGGTGATGGGACACGAGTTGACGGAGCGCTCGAGTCTTGGTCTTTGTGGGATCCCCCCTCGGCGTTAGCTCGTTCAATTTCTTCGTGTGTACGGTAAACGCCTCCCTGGATAGGCGGCAGGAAGTTCTCCCAAGTTCCTTCAATCCGACCGATGCGATAGCGCAGGACTTTCTGGCGTGTCTCAAAACAGTGTAGACTACTCGGCAGATTAGCATTGACCCCGTAGACCCAGGATTTGTTTGTAGCCTACGCATCGATTTCATCAGAAGCATCCTTGCCCACCATGTGAAGCATAGCCTTGTCGCCTCCGGGGTGATAGGGCATCCAAGCATCCATCTTAATGACTTGGTTATGGAAGATAGTGACATGCTTGCCTTGGGCGATCAAGGCCTCAATCTCGTCCCTGGTCATAAGCTTTGGTGTCTTCTCCGGCGCATTACCTGCCAGAGGCGGCAGGCCTGTAACGACAGCACTATGGGCCATAGTGAAGGGCAGATTGAAACAGAGGAAAGAATACCTCGGACAACAACACTGCTAGAAAGAGTGTGGAGGACTCTGCTGCACCCAACAACAGAATTGTCCAGGGCTGGGTGTCTCCAAGCGAGGGATGAATGGGGGAGTGCCCGAGGTTTAAATGTGCAAGTTAAAAAGGGGCCGATTTCAGCTTGCGGTCGAATCATATGCAGCTCAATTCACCGCATCTTATCAGTTCCTTCAGCGAAGTGCGTGCCTTTTCCTAGCTCCGGCAGTGGTGGAGCGGCGCAGCTGGTAGCACACCTCACTTCTGTCAAAGTGGCCCGATCTCTCCGCTGCAACAGAGGGGCTATGATTTACCCCGCCACCAGTTGGAAGGCCGCCTTCAGCAAAGGGCCCTTGTCAACATTGACTTCCAAGCTTCCATCTCGTACATCCCTAGGCCCCTGGTTTCAGCAATTAGGTACTGTTGCAAAAGGCTCCATCGCTGCATACGCAAGTCTCTGTCCCTGAGTCTAGGCACCAAAATTAGATACAGGATGCGGCGACTCAATCGAGACACAGGATCTCCAACCTGGTGGAGACATGCAGAGCAAAGCAGCGTGAATCACCAATACCATGTTGCTTTTGATCAGTGACAACGATTGACATCCGTATTTCCGCTATTGTGAAGCTCTTCGGGTTCCTGAGACCCCGTCTTCACCGATTGGTGAGCTCAGATGCTTTGCATTCTCCATCACTCACAACAGCATGACTCAATTGGTCCTTTCACTGCCAGCTACAACTCAAAAAGTGTCGATAATAATAACGGGTTTGGGGAACATCAACTACCTATATTCATATTCCTCAGCACTAGCCAGATTCCTAGCTGGCTCCTGGTCGAGAATGGGCTGATCTGGTGTATTCCCTCACAAGAACCTTTCGACTTGAACAACCTTGTAAATCCACCGTTGCAAACGGGTTCAGGGCTAGTGTCCCTCGAGGGGCCTGTGTGAGTTGAAGTTGTTCGACTTGTATTCTCGAATTCGTATTCGATTCGTTCGAGTAACTAATAGGTTCATGAAAATGAGAATAATACCGGAATGGAGCGCTGGTCTCGCCGATCTATCTCTCTCTTTCTCGGTTTTTGTTCTCAATACTACACAGTTTTTGAATACTTTGATCTAAAGCTTGTCCTGACTAAGATGGTACATCAATTTTTGTAAAAGAGTCAAGGGCATATTTAGCCAGTCGATTCGAAAGAGAGACTTTGTTATTCATCATATAATTTGTATTCTTCTTTCACGCAGTGCAAATAATCTTGGAACGCAAGCAACGCATCCTGCCGTGTGATTTCCAGGCATCATGCTTGAACAGACAGAATTATTACTAATTTACACAACCCAGAGTCCCAAATGCCCCGGGCTCTATCCCGTTCGCACTATCCTGTTGATGCCTCCTCTTGACTCTGTGTCATCTTTTTCATTATGTTCCTCAAGCATTGCTTAGAAGTGGATGGCCTTGGCGTGAGTGGCCATGGCAGCCTCCTTGAAGGCCTCGGCAAGTGTGGGGTGAGCGTGGCAGGTTCGGGCAATATCCTCACTGGAAGCACCATATTCGAGAGCCAGAGTACCCTCAGCGATCATCTCGCCAGCGTTGGGGCCGATAATGTGAACACCGAGAATGCGGTCAGTCTCGGGATCAGCGAGCATCTTGACCATACCCTCAGTGTCCTGGTTGGTCTTGGCTCGAGAATTGGCAACGAAGGGGAAGGTTCCGACTCGGTAAGGGATGTTCTGGTTCTTCAGGTCCTGCTCACTCTGGCCGACCCAGGCGACCTCAGGATGGGTGTACATAACGGAGGGAATGGCACCATAGTTGACATGGCCGTAACCCTTCTTGATGTACTCGACAACGGCAACAGCTTCCTCCTCAGCCTTGTGGGCAAGCATAGGGCCGAAGGTGACATCGCCAACACATCGGATGTGGGGGATCTTGGTTCGGTACTCGGAGTCAATAATGACACGGCCACGGTCGTCAGCCTCGAGGCCAATGTTCTCAAGGCCGAGGCCGCCGGTGTAAGGTCGTCGACCAATGGCAACGAGGACGACGTCGGACTCGATCTAGTAGTGTTTGTTAGAACTGTAGGTAAAACAATTGGATTTGATACACATACAGATTCGGGCTTACCACCCTTAGCGGAGTCAACCTCAAGCTTGACCTTGTCGCCAGACTTGTCGCCACTGACAACCTTGGTGTTGAGCTTGAACTCGAGACCCTGCTTCTTGAGGATCTTCTGGGTGTTCTTGGCGATCTCAGTGTCCATACCGGGGCCACCAATCTGGCCGAGAAACTCGACAATTGTGACCTTGGAGCCAAGTCGCGACCAGACAGAGGCCATCTCGAGGCCAATGATACCACCACCAATGACGGTCATGGTCTCAGGGACTTGCTCAAGAGCGATAGCACCAGTGCTGGTGATAACACGCTTCTCGTCGATCTCAAGACCGGGGAAAGGAGTGGCCTCGGAACCAGTAGCAATAAGAATGTTCTTGCCGCGAACGCTGGTCTCACCGCCCTCGTTGAGGTCGACCTTGATCTCATGCTCGTTGACGAAAGAACCAGCACCCTTGATGTACTCGACGCCGTTCTTCTTGAAGAGGTACTCGATACCCTTGGTGAGACCGCTGACGGAAGTCTCCTTGGCCTTCATGAAGTTGGCCAGGTTAAGCTTGACCTCGCCGACCTCGATACCGCGGGCCTTGGTGTCGTGGAGGATCTGGTGGTAGAGATGCGAGTTGTTGAGGAGAGATTTTGAGGGAATGCAGCCGACGTTCAAACAGGTACCGCCGAGGGAGCCACGCTTCTCAATGCAGGTAACCTATGAGATGAAAAGATCTGGTCAGCCAATTCTATCCACTTAGTGGTTCCCCATATAAAACCAACCTTCATGCCCTCTTGTCCAGCCTTGATAGCAGCGACGTAGCCAGCAACGCCGCCACCGATAACAACGAGATCCTTCTCCTCTACAAGAAATTCTGGTCAGCGGGTTGTTCGGCGTGGTGTTCCGACGAGCTCGGAGGCAACATACCAGCTGAAGAGGCATATCCACGGCTGAATCGCGACAGCGAGGAGGAAGCGACGACACTGGGGAGCCTATCGATCAGGAAGACACATTGTTAGTTAACGAGCCATATTTGCCTCGATGACGGATTGGTCCCAACAGAAGCGGGCTTAAACAAGCTTCTCCTGGATCCATTCGTCGCAAAGCGCATTGTGGTATTAACGTACGTAGACTTCTGGAAAGCCGGGCGAGCAACAGCTCGTGATATTAAGCGACTGGAAAGCATGATATGGGTTGTGTGGGAAAGACAATGGAGGACAGACGGATTGTGGAGAGGAAGGGGGAAGATGAGGTAGAAAAAGTCGACGAGGTTGAGGTTGAGGCGTTGCCGCAACAAAGCTCGCCCGCCTTCTAAAAAGCACAGGGCACTTCAAGTCCAGTAAGGCAAAGCACTGTAATGCACTACAGGGAGCTTCGGCAAAGAGAAGCCCGCCCATTTGTCAGGTAATTTTTTCCTGGACGTCAGCCGACACGTTGACACGATTGGTCATTTCTTCGGTGAGGGGGCCACCTACAGCACCCTCACCTCCCCTCCGCGTGCCCTGTAAAGCTTTTGCTAGGTCTCGTTGGAGAAAACTGCCCCCTGGACATATATCTCCGGTCCCGTTGTCGAATGGCATTGCATTATATCTCCAACTTTTGGATCCATTCCCGGTTTCAGTGGTGGTTCACGCTAAGTCTTGCCTGGGAATTCGGGCATTTCGTCCCAACGCACGCCGAAACGGTTCTCCCCAAAGATTGATGTCGCTCAACCACAGCTTATCCCGCCTCTTGCACCTCCGAGGACCCGGCGTGTCCCGTTCCTACCCGGTCGCCGGACGTCAATTGCCCCTCGGGATGCCGACGTCACTGCAAGATAAAGCCGCTCATATACGGAGTACATCGCCGGTTCACCGAGATAGATGATTGCTAATAAAAATCATGAGTCTGGACTCTGGACTGAATCAGGCCGCGGAACTTTGTAATACTGTCGCCTCCCTGAATATCTATGACTCTTATCCCATATCCTACACTTCTATTGCCGCTGGGCGCACAATAATCTGCGCCTTCTCGCAAACGCCCTCCAGCTTTTTCGACTCCTTTGCGCTGACCAATTTCGTCCTCCGGACCTTCTTCCGTATCATCCAATGTATACCAGCAGCCAAGCCTGGCAAGTCTCGGGCAACACCAAAGATCTTCTTTAGCTTCATATCTTCCTCTGTGTCCTTCTTCTTGCTCCGGCATTCCTTCAGAAGAGCAAGTATGAATAGCTGGACAAACATCGATGTCCAGTGGTTCGCCTCAGGAAGTTCTAGAGGCTTCAAGATGGCAATATTCAGTGTTCCATCCGCAACAAGTGCCGCATAGAACTTGGCCACATTGGCGATGCGTCTCTCATCTTTCATGCGCTCAGCATCAGCCGACTCATCCTCCTCAGGAGCTTCGCCGAACATGGACTCTCCGAGACTCCTAAAGATTTTCCATAATCGATCTTGGATCGCAAATCTGATTCGGCTGTTACTCAGACAGGCCTTTCCTCCCACAAGAGCGTAGTAGGGGTTGTATTGCATTTCGCTACCTACACATTGCACTAAGACAGTGGCGAGGGCCAATTGGTCATCCTTCTTGAGCCGGAGGTTGACAAATTGTCTGTAGGCGTGCTCAAAATTGGATGCCGTCATCAATGCTGTGAAAATCGCAATTTGGGCCGTTCCACTCAACCCTTGAGCGCGAGCCTTCTTTGGATAATCAGGCAAAACGATGTCCATGTCCTCATGATCGCTCATTTCAGCATCAGATACATGCCCCTTTTTGCTTTTATCTAGGAGAGTTGTTGGTACACTGGCACCAACCAACCACCATTTACCTCGTGTCTCAGCTCCCTCAATGTCGACCAAGCCTACTCCCATAGGAGCAAGCCCATCGAGCCGTCGCGACTGAGACTTGAGCTCCCCGAGACGCTTCTTCATGCGTTGTACATGTTCTGAGACAACAGTAAAGTCCAAGCCTCGGGCCTTCTTTTTGCCCTTGGTGAGGTCGGTGATGGTTTCAACCATGAACTTTGTGCGAGCTGAGATATTGGTGTAGCCCACTTTCGAGAGGGACTGGTTAAGGACCCCAGAGACGTGCTTCAGCGATTGCTGATCATCCTGCTTCAACATTCTGCCAGCCATGCGGCATATTCGCAGAAGAAGTTCCACGTTGATCTCATTCAGGTCGCTGAGAAGTCTCTCCATGTAATCAAAGATGATCTTGCAAGTGACAACCTCGAACACGTAAAGTTGTGAAAGCAGTGTCAAGATATTCGAAGCTTCCTTTTGAATAGCGGATTCAGCGTTTTGCCCCTTGCTCGCTTGCTCATAGTGACCGCCAAAATCTTCCACGATACGGCGGATTAACACTGAACCAAAACTCGACCCAATAAGCCGGTATATGGCAGCGGCAAATCCACCGGTGAGGACAAAGAACTGATCAGGGAGGCTCTCCGGCTTGGAAATCTGAGCCATGATCGCATCCGTGATAACATCTGTCACATCACCACGTGCATTGTTTTGGTAAAGCTCCTCCACAGACTTGACAATGGACAAGATGTTGGCATCTGTAAGACGATTGATCAAGCCTTGAACTTGTTTCCTAAGTCGACTTTTGCGCTCCTCTTCTGAGTTTGCGGCTCTGCGCAATGAAGGGGGGACGTATTTCGCAACCGTAACTCCAGTAGTGGGCGCGACATAGGGGTTCTCTCTCTGTCGCGGTTGAGCTGGTGTGGTGTCTGTAACATCACCCTCTTCGTCGTCGTCGAAACCACCGGATGGCTCGTTATCCAAGTCACCCCCATCTTCATCGTTTTCATCCATGAGGTCCATGTCTTCGTCGTCATCTCCAGATTCGTCGTCCAAGCCCGTATCATCATCTCGCTCCTCATCTTCGGGCACGTCGCGGACCTTTTGTCGGCCTGCAGGCTCTACTGTCTTTCTTCGCTTGGATGCCAGCCAATCATCATATTCACTTTTCCTCTTTTTATTGTCATTGTCGTTGTCGCTGACGTCTTCTTCACCGCTAAGATTCCCTAGAAGATCGCCAAGGCCATCCTCCCTGAAAGACTGAGGTAGTGATTTTCTTCCCTTCTTGATACCTAGCTTTCGCTCGAAGGCCTCAATCTCGGCGTCGTCCTGGGCCAGTCTCTCCTGCACGGCCTTCGAAACACCCTTCTTCCCACTCTTTGCTTTTGTGTTCTTTTTCTCTTCCTCTTCCTCTTCCTCGTCTTCGTCGTTGTCGTCTTCTTCGTCGTCCATCAGGTCATCCAAATCATCGTCTTCGTCCAACGAGACGTCTCCCGCATCGTCCTCATCCTCATCTTCGAGATCATCTTCATCGTCGCTAACCGGCTTTGGAGATCGTGACTGAGACTTGTTCACCTGTTCCTTCCTCTGCGTTGTGTTTGGCCTTCTCCGAGCATGATTCATATGCTGTGGCCGCTGTGGAGTTGCTCTTGCATAGACGTGGGTTCGCTTCTGTACCCGTTGCGCTTTACGTTGCTCTTTTCTTGACAACTGTTGTCCCGCTCTCCTAGTTCCATTGCGCTGTGGTTTGGGTTCTGGAACATCCAAGCCCATACGCTTGAAAAGTTTCTGCTGGAGCTCTGGCGCGGACGTCATCTTGCCGGAAGTATAGCGGAAGAAAAACACCGGGATGCTGCAGGGTTACAATCCTGCAGTTGACTGAATTTTAAGCAACGATCTGGATCTTTTGATGGTGGTTGTGCCTAATTTAGCAGGCGGTCAGAGAAGAGTATTGCGATTCTGGCGATATCTTCTCGAAATCTTGTCGCAATACTGGTCAGAGAATTGTAGATGACTTGGGTCATTATACGAGTTCTCCTTTAGGGTTGGATAAATACGCACTGAATCTTTCAAGTCTCTTTCGCCAGTTCAGAAGTGATGCAGAAAAGAAAGGATATTCTACCGGCAGAAAATATCTTCAACTTGGGGATTTCGAGAGAGGCTAAGAGGTACCTGAGTGAGTCCTCCACTAAAGTTCAGGTATCGATTTCACCGCCCGATGCAAGCCACGAACGATGCTGCCACAACCTGCGCCACACTTGAACCCCGACATGATAGCGGGGCACAATGTCAACCTCAATATTGGTTGGTCAACACTCATCTCTCAATATACATCGATTTTTGACAGTCTCATAACCCATCACGATGGCTGACTCTCATATGAGCCATGACGAGGTGAGTCTGCAATACCTTCTTTATATGAAGACAGGCCCGGACGATCGTCTGGCAGCTTTGTTTCTGACATCATGACAGTTCTTCGCCAAATTGGGTGAGCTCTTCAATCATCGTAAGGGCAGCGACCATGGCGCCATCTACTTGAGCCAGAAGCGACGTACGTACAGATACCTGCCGTATCTCTCATCCCGCTAAGAAACCTCTCAGTCACCTACGGTCAAGACATCCCCAGTCCCTCAGAAGAGGAACCCTCTCCAGATATTCACCCTGGCAAGCCTCTGCCCCTCATCATCAGGGCAACAAATGGCAAGGGCAAGAAGGATCGCTCCAGCAAAGCTAAGCTTTCAACAGTCGTCAACCCCGGGGATCTGGAGGCTTTCTACGTGCGTTATGCCGACGTGTGCAAGGCTGGCATGACAGCCTTGAAGCCTAGAGACAGAAGCAAGAAGAAGGCCAAGGCAAAGAAGAAGAAGGCTGCTGCATAAACGATTTTCTTTTCACTGTTCAATGTTTGGTGTCAGGCATCAAACGTTAAGGTTATATCATGGATTAATGAATTATCATGTTATGCGATGCCCAAACACGTCCCCAAGCAACCATGACTTTGAATTATTTCTACAAAAGGAAGAGTAAATATTACACGGAGCCGCGTTACAATCCAGTTCCGTCAGGAGCGTATGCGCATTAGGTAAACTGAGCAAAGTTTGGGAAAGGGGCTGAGCCCTTTAGCACACCTTGCCTGAACTGAGCTGTCCTCGGAAAGCGCCAGGAACAGCAAGGCTGGAGTGCGAGTCGGCGAAGAATTTCTCGGGGTTCTTCTCAATCTGCTTGAGAGTGAAGCCGACACCAGTGTCTTGGCCGTTCTGAATCACGCCGGTGCGGAATGGACCCTGGAGACAGCCGACAGCGTTGCGGCTCTTCTCATCGCCGACGGGGTTGGGGAAGGCAATGCTAATACCAAGTTAGCGCTTCATAGATCTAATTGCGTATAGGTCCGTGTTATCAGCTTACCGTGGAGGTCCCGACTTTCCCTTGGCAGCCTCGTGGATGTGGGTGGCAGTGTTGGCGGGAGACTGGTAGTCACCTCGGAAGCCATACAAGGTGATATTGTAGCAGATGACATCTTCGTTCGAGTTGATGCCAAACTTGAAGAGACCCTTGCTACCCTTCAATCCGCCAGTGTACTTGTTGTCTGCATCGACAACCTGATCAGGGGTAGCAAGAACTTCCCAGATAGAAGTGAAAGTGAAAGGGATACCACCCTTAGGCTTAAGCAGCCCAAGAGCGCGCTTCTCGTGATCCATGTCGGGGGTCGGCGAGGCAGCAGCGAGGGTGCTGAGAGCAACGGCAAGGAGAGAGAACTTCATTTTCGCGGTGGATTTGGCTGGAAATGTAGGGCAGAGGGCAAGATGTTAGGGATTTGGGTGCAAGGTTGCTCTGTGGATGAATACTGATGAGACTGGTAAAGACTCCCAACGAGGAGAGGAGGTGTTCTTATAGACATTCCACTACACGATGACGACACACGACACAACAACACCTAGATTGAGCGCAAACAACGTCATCACAGTAATTGTTCGTAGTATCGTGAGGGCCCCTGGGCAATCCTCTAATCTATGGCAACATACACCAAAGGATTCAGACCAGCAAGTCGCCAAGTAGAATAGCTCGGTGCCCAGGTACGCCAGAGTAATCAAACGATGTAGGGAGATACCACGGAGGTATTCGACCGCATACAACGTATGAGCCAAGTCGTACTTTCTCCAAGGCGCCTGAGCGACACCTCATACAGAACTAATTGGGATGACTTACCAAGCATCTTAGGGTTGAGCTAACCTGTCACACAGCCACACGGCAGAGCGACGCCAAGGGATCTTGATCTACCAATCAACACACAAGGGATACATCTGTTTAATGGGAGATGCTTTCTTGAACCGGTTACGTATACGAGATGCAGTGGTAGACATAGCTCCCGTGTAGCTCTACACCGGTTAGTAGTGACGAACGACCACCTCCGTTAGCCCAGACCTGGTACTTACTAACGTAGATGGTGCATCTGGCAAAGCTCCAACCTACTCTGAGTACGGTACTCGTTATTCTCCTCTTGGTCAAAAGTAAGGCTGCCAAGGCTTTTTAGTATCGATGAGGAGTAAGGCCACGGATGCGCCAGCTTCCGGCGCAGGAAGATCGCTAAGACAAGCTTATTTCGAAGCTTAAACAATAACCTCCGCTATTGGTCGATCACACGTTGGCGGCACTCGTACAACGAGCGGTGGGACTGGGCAAGGGAGAATGGCTAGCACACTTTGAGCTTTAAGGAGGAATGGCTATGAGCTTGGCAGATGTCGATCTAAGAAGCTCTTAGGTTACGGCAAGTTGATGATCCGGCTTGGAACACTGACAAATTCAAGAGGCCACGCACCTTCGTGTGAGACAAACACTTATGGACTTTCATCAAACCTTGGTTCGATGCTGGTGGCCGAAGACTATCGGACCTCGCATTTTTTGAGTCCGCTTGTCTCGGCAACCTTCATTCTTGACCCTTCCGAATACTCACCGTCAGGGGCCTGCCTGTTGTCCAAGTTTCCAAGTCCCAGGAACTAGCAAATACCTTTCGCCCTTGATTCTGGACTGTCCAATTTTCGACTTGCATACTCAGAGAACAAGGTTGGCAAAGAGTCCGTAGACTTGGGAACCGAGAGTGAATACCCTCATCCTTGAATCTCGACCCCTCTCTAGATCGTAGGTTACTGCTGCTTGGAAGAGGACATGTCAACTCCAAGTCGATATGACCGTGATAGCGAACAAGATGGCAGTGCATCATCTCCAGGCCAGGGCATCCAAAGCATAGCCCAGGCCGTACTTATCGTCCTTATGTACGTTTGAACTAACTATACCAATCACCCCAACGCCGATATTCACCATGCAGTTTTATGTGACTATGTTTTACCTTTACCATTGCCTTCACCTTCACTTATATCGTCGCCCGGCTGGCGGACTTTCATGCCCCAAGACGCTACGCATGTCCGTTGACGTCCTACGCTCCCCTTCACCAAGACCACCTGCCATCGTTCTTAAAAACCTTCGGATGATTACTCGACATACATTCTAAGTAGAGTCCTGTTGTTTCCTGAGAAGCCAACAGCCATCTTTTCCTTCATTGACAATGAGCAACCCTATAGTTGATAACCGCGTGCGTTTGACCGGTTATCCGGGTGTCAACGGTGGGGTCATTCGGTTCTGTATGGTAAGCCCATCATAAAATCCTCCCTCGCTCCCAGCTCATAAGAGACCAAGTCGTCGACTTATTCTCCAAGGTGATAGTGACTTCGACCCCCTATCCGTGAGTTAAGATTCCACCGTTGATAAACCCCAACTTTTGCTGCTCATGTGGAAAACGAAAAGTACCAAATAACAAAACAACCAGATATAAAAAGCGTTGTGTAGATGCAGACGGTCGCCGCCGCCAAGACAAAAGTCGACCGTAACATAGCTGCATGAAGTTCAGTGCAAATGGACGTCCCCCTCTTACATGATCTGATCTTGGGTCAATCCACCGTGGGGATCTGTATCCATGACGTCGTTTCCGCCCTGGTTCAGATACTTCACAAAGCTCAGGTTGAGAGGACGGCCACCATACTGGTAGCCTTGAAACTTGGCAATGGCAGTCTCCGCAGTCTCGGCTGAATCGAATCGAACCACGCCAGTACCACGAGAACGACCACTGGGCTCGTACTGGATCTCAGCTTGCTCGACCTTTCCGATAGTGGTAAACAGCTCAACCAGGTCGTCGTTGCTGGTCGACCAGGGCAACTGTATAAGATTAGCACAGGCACAAACGGGTAGGAGATGTGGGAAAATCTCACGTTGCGAACGTAGATGATTTCTCCCCTCTCGGTGCCGGCGGTGGCGAAGTCAGTGAAAGGGTTAGGAGGGACGGAGCTGGCAGGGGGTTCGAAACCAGGGCCGCCAGGAGCACCTCCACCGAAGCCTCCACGACCAAAGCCGCCTCCGAAACCTCCACGCCCTCCGCCAAAACCGCCGCGGCCTCCAAATCCTCCTCCAAATCCTCCGCGCATACCACCGCCATAGCCACCTCGGCCACCGAAGCCCATGCCAGGCCCGCTGCCGGCATAGCGGTCCTCGCGGACTTCAATAACACGACCTTGCCAGTCATAGCCATTGAACTGCTGAATGGCGTTGCGGGCATCATCTGGGCTCTCAAAGACGACAATGCCAGAACCCTTAGGGCGACCATCAGGTCCGATGTGTACATCAGCTCGAATCACGGCGCCGTTTCGGGCTATATAGCGATTAGACCCAACACCACCCACTCATGTGTTCAAAATGAGAAGAATCAAGACATACCTGCTTGACGGAACAAGTCCTTCAAGTCCTGCCAGCCAACATTGAAAGGAAGCTACCGAATGTCAACACATGTCCACAACTTACAGACAAATCGGGGTTGAACAAACGTTGGCCACATAGATCTGACGGCCGCCACCTCCAGCACCACCTCCAGGCGCGCCGCCACCGTATCCAGGGTTGAAGCCACCGGGCATACCACCACCTTGGCCGCCGCCGCCGAAGCCGCCACGATTTCCGCCAGTTGCTCCGATGAATCGAGGTTCGGCTTCTCGGTCCTTCAGATTCGGTCAGCAAGATGCCCATGCCCAGCTTGGAAGTTTTTGACTTACCTCACGCACGTAGACTAGACGGCCCATGAGGTTCTGGTTGCTGAGCGTGGCAACAGCCGCTTGGGCTTGCTCCCGAGTAGCATATTCCACAATACTGGATAGGTTAGCAACGCCGTAGGCTTCGTGGAGGAAATCGACTTACCCGCATCCCTACAAGTAACCAAGGACAACGTCCCACCCGTCAACCCAACCATCCATAAATGCTAAAAGGGAATGAAGAGCCACAAAGGAAAGCCAACCAAGGGAAAAGAAAATCATGCGATGAAGCCCACCTTCGACATTCCATTGGGAAGCAAGAGCACGTCGGCAAAGAGCACCTCTCCAGCTATACCATTTCGTCAGTCCCAGTTCCACCTGCATTCCGCGGCATTGAAAGCCTCACCCTGTCTCATGAAGTCCTTGAGATGGTGCCACTTGACATCGTACGAGAGGTTGCCGACGTAGACTCGGCGGTCCTGCTGGGAGGTTTCGCGAATATTATTCATCATTTGTTCTCGAGCAACGGCTCTTTCTTCGTAAGATCGGTGCGGTGCCTGTCCACCGTATCCAGCACTTTGTCCTCCACCTGGTGCGCCTGTGCTAGTCATGGGCGAGCGATCACGGTTTCGTCGATATTCGTCCCGGCTTCCTGATCGGCTGCGAGGAGAGTAGGAGCGGCGTCGATGCGACCTATCAGGGCTTCTGGATCGTCTGCGGGGAGATCGTGACCTCTCACGCTTGAGCTTGTTAGCAGGTAAAAGTACAAGTTGTGGTTCCATGCTCAGGTGCAACTATGGTGGGATAGAGAG